GCCCACATGGAACTGGCCTGACGTGACAGCTCTTCAATTTGCGTCCATACCGACAGCTCAAGTGCAGTGGTCAACGTCCGAGCTTAAATCAAGAATGACGAGAACGACGATCGCTTGATACAAAGCATGAGCAGAATGTCTTGCGACGTGCTCATTATGAGATGTCACATTTCGACATAGAGATATATAAATGTTGAATGCACTCTCGAGGAAAGTGGTGCCGCAGGATCTACCAGGGGCGAGTGATAGCAACCGCGATAGCCAATGCGGTCATCGGTGCCATGTCGTTGGACGTAGACGACGCCACCACAAGCTTGGTGCCTTCACCTGGAAATACTGCGCTTTTCCATGACGACGCAAAGGGGCAGGAGCCATACTCGCCATTGGCCAAGTGGACGCATATCCCAGGCATCGACGCCTCTCTCGCGCATTTTCCTTTTTCCAACGCATCGAGGGGCCGAAACCCTTCCCAGGACACCGATACGAGGCCTGGAATCAACCGCACATACCGCAATAAGTTGTCGACGGGGTTGACACATGCATCTGGAACGAAGGGCTTCCCAAAGAGTTGGGCAATGAAAGCACCTGTCGTCGCAACAAACGGGTCGCCTTTCACGGCAGCACACCCTTGGTCGTTGGGAACCTGCACGGACGAGATGAGGCGCTCGACGATCTGGCTCGAGTTGCCCACTGGATCGGTTGCTGTGAACGATTTGAACCACGCGTAGCCACACGTTTGGTTCGTCGTTCCATCGTAGCCCGGCGTTTGAGTGGCGCACACGACGTCTGTCGTGTAGTTGAGCACCTTCAACACAAACAAATCGGGGCTGATGCCGAGCACGGCAGTGCCGTTCGTCAGCGCATCGGCGCAGCATGGATTTGCTCGCACTTGGTTCATCACCTGCGGGAAAATGCCATTGGCCAGACACGGCAGAACCACATTGATCATGGGCTGGCATAAATTTTCAACGTCCGAGTTTGTCACCGCAGGCCATGCACCAACAGTCGAGGGCATGGTCCGAGACATCATTGGACTGATGTCCCTGAACCAGTTTTCTGCGATCGCGAGCGTTGCCAGGCACGAGGGCTGTGCCAGAGCTGTAGCAATCAGAGCGCCACTGAGGGCGTCTAGATTGATCGATCCAAGGCAACGTAGCCATGTATCGGGCACCTGCTGTAGTTCTCTCGACATGAAGCGGGGTAGTTGGCGATTAAGATCGTACAGCGCACTCGTGGGGTCGCTGGGTCGAGGGCAGTAGCTGGCAGAATCATGTGCGACGATCCCCAGCACCACAGCGCACAGAAGCACCGAAGGACTGCGCATCCTGAACATTCAAAGGTGTCGTTCGTCAGTGCTCTACACGAGCAATGCCGCGGTGCTGGTGACCTCATGGCTATGTATAGACTCCAGCCGCCATGCTGGATTTTCCATGGCGTTTGGCGGTCAAACTTGCTGCGTTAGCTAGATGAAACGCATGGGGGCAATGGGTTGCGTCGTTGGTGATGTGCGGGCCACGGATGCCTGCCGCAATGCATCCCTTGGCGCACGTTGGCTCCATAGTGGCACAGACGAAGCGACTCTAGCTTTCAGATTTGCCATCGTTGAAGGAACCTTGACACCAGGATTGCCAACATTCACAGGGTTTGAGCTCTGGCCATGTAGCCTGTGCATGCCAATCCGTATCGATGGCGAAGAGAGACTCTTGAAATTGGGTGTGAGGTGCGGCACAGGCAGCCGGAAAGTCTTGGTGTCGTCGCAAATCCATTGGAGCACGTGCAATAAATGGGGGCTATGCGGGCCGTGGCACACCCTCTTGACGAGTGATCGAAAGGCCATGATGTGTAATTGCGATGGCACGGGTCGGTGAAGGAGTCACATGACTGAGCGACGTCTGAATCTTCGCGAACCTGCCAGGCAGGCGTACACAACACCCTGAGTATGTATGTTAAAGATGTGAATTCAACTGGCTTTGACTGGATCTGGGGCCCAAGGCGAAGAGGTTTTGATGGGTGCTTTCGTGCTGCCATCCGCAAGGGGTTTTCGTGTCGTTGTACTCTTTCTGTGCCGCTCGACAAAGCTGCGGATGAGTCGATGGGATGGAAAGTTCTTGGGAAGTTTGCGCGCAGCATCGCTAGGTTGGACGCATTCACGCATGACGTCAGCCATTTCCGTGGGCGTCAGACATCGCTGAAGTTGTCGAATCTTCGCGCGCACGGTATCCAGCACGACTTGTTCTTGTTGCGGCGTGAGCAAGCGACTGTACCCTCGCATCGAATACATGGCGACATCTCCTCGCAATCGACGCGCGATATACATGCGATGCAGCCGGAACTCCTTGGCTGCTTCGCTAATATTCATCGCCTTTGATCGTACAGATGCCACGGCCGCTTCCGTGCGGCGTTTCTTGAGCGCGTCCATGGTAGCTTCCGCCGAATGCCGAGATGAACGGTGGGCTTCGAAACATCCACCCAATCACGGACGAGTTCATGTTTCCAGGCGAACGGACACGACAACGGACGCAAGATCGGATGCGCTCGCGGTGCCATGTAGGCTTGGTGGTGTTTTGTGGTGCGCGTGCAGCGAAGATGATCGAGCACTGGAGGTGTATCGAACGCATGGAAGAGTCCGAAGCCGCTCGGCTGAATGACATTTGAACCGAGCAAGTGAGCTGGTCGGACGATGTCAGAGTCGACCCTGGTGCTGATATCACCACCCCCAGATTGCATGCCAGTGCACAGCGATGACGAGTGACGGAATCCCCATTGCCCTGTCGTTAGAGTGAAGAGGCAGTGGGTCTTTGTTCCTACTTTGGTATCGACGCGGGCAAACCGTTCGACCGACAGAAAAGCTGATCGATTCACTTTGTTCGACGAATGAACTCATGCCAGGAGTACAGAGCATATGGAGAACCACCGTTCATTGTTGCATCGTGACGAGTATTTTGCAAGGCCGCGGCCTCATGAAGAAACGCCGCGGCAGAGAGAGGTGCGGTGTGTGACACAACATTCAAAAATGCACGTTTTGGGCAAGACTCGGTGTGGGACACACCGTCCAGTGACCAGGTCGAGGAATGTCGGTGGACACGTCGACATCGTGTACGTCGGATTCCAGTCAGGCCATGGATCTTTGCAAACGCAACTATGCCGGTGATGCCAAGGTATGCGATTCCCATGACATGCAAGGCTTGCCTGCCACTGCTTCCGCCATCATCGCGACCTCCCTTTGCGCCGACATCGACACCTTTCGTTGAGTCACTTGACCCATTCCCTTGAGTATCGCATTTAAAGGAGCCACATCACGCCTCGGACGGAGGACATGCATTTAAATATTCATATATACGAATGAACCTTGCTGTGACATTGTTTGATAAACCTCAGTTTAATTCTATCATTGAAGCACACAGGACGTGAAAACGTTCTTCCAACCAAGTTACATACTTTAATCCAATGAAATGTACATGATATGATGTACATTCAGGTCGTTCATTGCATGCAGCAATAGCTCAATCCGATTTTTTAGGCAGAAATCGCCAGGACAAAATCATTCCTCGATTTCCGATCTCGTTGCCACGATGAAGACCATGTTCTCGCTCGCGATGACTGCGTTGGCGGTCACGAATGCCCAGACGAACTCCAGTACCAAAGCCTGCTCGACAGTGGTCGACCAGACGAACCCTACGTTCAAAGCGATCAGCTCTGTCGTTCCGCTGGAATTCCTGTCGATGCTCCCAAAGTCTTGGTTGGGTTGCATCGGGTCGGTGAATGCCAACACTTTGGTCTCGGACGTGATGTCTGCGATGGTGGTCGAGCCTACGTGCTTGGTTGCGGCCCCATATCTGTTGCCGCTCTTGGGTGATGGAAAATCAAAGAACAGCACCAACGCTGGCAAGAACGAAACCAACGACGACGACGACAACCACTGGTCGTCATACAAATCGTACATTTTCAACTTTCCCGACTCAGACGTGCAAAAGGTGTGCACACCGTTGACCAAGTCGATGGCGTGCTTGAAAGCCGGGATCGTGCCGGCTGTGTTCAAGCAGATCAACACCAACCCTTGCTGCACTGCGATGGTGGCCGATATCAAGGCCTTTACTGGTGAAGCCCCTGACATGCTTGTGACCAGCTTCGTCGAAAAGGTGTCGGATGTTGTGTGCACGATTCAAACCCCTGGTTTCAATGGCACGGCAAACCAAACTTGCGGCTACTCATGGGTGAAGAGCTTCACGCAAGGCATTTCGGAAGCATCCAAGGAATCGACTGCCGAGTTGATTGGGCGTGTTGACACTGCCCTTCAAATCCCCAACGACCAAGGTTGTGCAGCTGTGAATGGCAACCCTTTTACGTCCACGACCGGCGCCTCCGTGTCGACCTTGTTCGTCAAACCCATCGTGCCAGGCTCATGTGCTAAGTCGGCCGATGCCCTCCTCTCGTGGGTGCGCAAGTTCCCCGCTCTCCCGAACGTCACGTTCGGCCCGATTCGCGCCCTCGATTTGTTTGAGGACAAGAAGTGCGTCAAGGGCTCGGACATCGCAGCTGTCATCGGTGTCGAGTACCTCTTTGGCAACTCCAACATCAAACCAAGCGACTTCAACTCGTCGTGCTACCACTTGTCGAACGGTGGGTTCCAAACGTGCTCGTTCGCCGACGCGACAGCCGGCCAAATTGTTCAAAACTCGACCGAGGCGACCCCCGCCACCCCCAAGTCAGCAGCGAATGGCTTCGCCGTTTCTTCGATGATTGCAACCAGTGCCGCTCTGATGGCGCTGATGTGGTAGAAAACCTAACTTCTGGTACATACAAGGAACAACGGGTATCCATCCCCTGTGGTAAAACAAAGTTGTTTCCTGAAATTTGTGTGCCATATGTGCAAATTTGCAAAATAGACCAAGAAAATTAGAGATTTCTCGTCTCCGGTGTACATGTATTCTCCTGTTCAATTGAAAGTGGTTGTACTATTATAACGAAATTGTGGACCAGGAGTAGTATAAAATATAATGCAACTAGTAGTACGTACTGTGGATATTTTCCATCGCTCACATTATCGAATGCCAATTTGAATGACTTGACTGTGCAGAGAAGCAAAAGCACCCCTACAGCTGTCCAGCTCATGACAATGGATCCTCATGGTTTGGCGTGAGCAGGTTCGTCTCAACCACACAAGATAGCGTGCGGCTTGGTGAACCCGATGCACATGCATACTTCGAATGGATTTTCCAAACGTGGAATTCCTAATTAGGCATTTCGATCTGAATTAGGGATCTAACGAACTAATCTAACGCAATGTGCCACGTGTGGCGTGCCAGATTCCAAGCATGGGCGATACGTCGAAACAAGCTCTGCGGACAACACCGTTCCAAGAGAAGCATGGCGTGATGTATGGTCTCCATGTCCGGTCTCGGGACTCCAAGGGCGAAGCCGTCTCTGTGCAGTGCCGCTTTTGTGTGCATTTTGGCCGAGAAGAGCGACAAGGCGCCACACTCCGGAAGAAGCTCACCACAGTCAAAGTGTTTGTGCCGCCATATCGTCCTGAGAACTACCGACATCACAATGCGACGCAACATCCAAAGGTGTGGGCGCAGTACCAGGCTCTATCGCCGGAGGAGAAATTGATCTTCTTTGCCAGTCCACCGAGTCCAACTATCGTTCAGCCTTGTGCAGCTCTATCGAATAACACGGTTCGAGAAGACAGTGGCAACCACATCGCCCCGGCGCGGACACATCATGACGGTGACATGGACTTAGCGAAAGAAGCATGCGCACAGGTCCAGGCGCTCAAGGACGTCCTAGAAGATCGGTACTTCAACGCAGTGGACTTGCTGACGGACCCTTCCGCGGCGCGCGCATTCTTAGTCGTGGCACCGGTCGACCGGGCTGGCTGGCTGCAGTGGAAACTCGCTCAGCACCAGCTTGCTTCATCGACAACGGGTGTAAAACCAGTCTCAATCTAATTTAGCAACGTTGTGGTGGACCTCAAGAAGACGCCATCGAACCCTGTGGGGGTGTCAACGCCATGGAGCGTAGCTCGCTCAAGTTTGAATGAAATAGGTAGCTCTGCTGCACTTGTTAGCACATCCAAGAATCCGTCGTCGCGTCCGACGACGCATCACCGGCGAATGGTGCAATGGATGAAGCCTTCCAACATCGACCACGTCCCTGCAGCTCGGATGGGATTGAGTGCCACATAGTCCCATCATGTGGCACCGAGCCCTCTCGAAACAGACACAATTCATTTTCACAATTATTGACCAGAGGCAGGGCATGGACGATTACGTTGCTGGCTTCAACTTCCATTGCAGCCATCCAAGTCGATCTTCGTTGGACATGACAATGAATGTCCTTGCCATTCCTGGATCGGCCAGCAGGTCCAACGCCGCGTAATAGTGCTCGACACCTAATGCGTCCTTGAACAAGCGGACGTCGCGACACGCGGCCATCGATGGATCTTCCACAGCAGGGAATGATCCAGTCGAGTCTGACTGAATCAAACGTTGTTGATCAGTGTGGTTATGCGATGTCTCTTCAACGCGTTTGGCCTTGGTAGCACTTGCCTTTTTGCCCAATCGTGCCACCGCATTACACGACTTGGTGGCTCTCTGTGGCTTCGACTGCACGCGACGAGTTGCTGCTTCCGTGAATGAGTTTCGTTTGGACCGAGACACCACGAGTTTGTTGCGGTCGATGAACCCGTACACCCAACTCGACAGGGTCTTCTTCGATCCTGCATGGAACGTCGGGTCGATTTTGAGCGCTTCATTGATGAGAATGTTGGGGGTCACGGGTTGATTGCTCAACCACCTTTGACGGTAGAACATGAGGAGCTTTTGCTCGGCTTCAGGTTTCGTCACAGTCCGACCAACGTGCAAGGTCAGATTGTTGGGGTACATGGACGCACGTTCAACGAGAATGGACTTGTTTCTGGCCCAGCGTGTGATCTGGCTGCTCTGGAGGCCGTACTTCTTGGCAATCACGTACTTGGACTCACCGGACTTCTCCCATTCCTCGACAATGGCCAGCTTCTCTCGCAGCGGCTTCTTCGAAGCAACACTAGTTGTGTTGCTCCGAGGCATGTCGTGTCGTGGTCCACTTGTCTCCCAGCAAGTACTGTCAACAATTGTCAGCGATTGAGAACGTTTTATAAACCTAGCGGCACATCACATGAAACGGCAAAGTACCCAGAAATTTGGGAAATTTTCGAGAAAAGTTTGTGACTTTTTAGTGGATGAATCTACGATTGACTAGTATGAAATACTTTTAGTAACTACTAAATGTTCCTCGAAAATTGGCCAATTGCAAGGCATGGATGCCCTTGCCGTGCGTCACGAGCGACATCTGGGCATGGAGGCTGGGCACCGCAAGCCATCTCCGCGCCGGTCGCTGCATTTTCTCCAGGCGCTTTTCATCCTCTTTGTAGGACTCTGTGCTATCATCAGCTATACCTTCGTGACGTCACGGGTCGAAAAGATTCGTCCCCGCATCACGAACAGGACGAACCGCGCCACTCGTGGGTTTGTTGTTCCCATGTTTGACGCGATGATTCCGATTGGAATCTCCCTTATCAAGGAGTTGCGCCGGTACGGGAACAACGACATCGTTCAAGTGTATCATTGTCTCGACGAGATCTCGCCGCGATCGATGCAGCTCCTCTATCAATCGGACGAACAAATCGAGGTGATTGATGTGTGTCTCGACTACGTCACGCGGGGCAACTTGACGCTCGAGCAAGCAAAGGACTTCCGCAACTTTTTCATCAAACCGTTGGCGCTCATCCACACGCGACTTGACGACGTCATTTTGTTGGACGCGGACGATATTCTGTTTTCAGACCCGGCCGCGCTCTGGACTGTCCCCGCGTATCGGGAGTATGGCACGATCTTCTTTTACGACCGCGAAATCAACGAAAATTCGTATTTGAATGGCAAGCACCGGTGGACGAACGAAAAAGGCGTCGACGTTGAAGAGAACACGTTGCAGGAGATGATGCGCGTGTTCGAATCCGAGCGGTTCGGCCTTGAGCGCAACAAGCCGTCCGACCATGTCCGCAACTCGTTGCCGTACAATAGCCAAGGAGCTCATGAACAAGACTCGAGCGTCGTTGTCGTCGACAAGCGGGTGCACAAGAAGGCCATGGACGTCCTGTGGTTCCTCATCACTGAGTGGCGCTACCGGTACTCGTACTCGTGGGGCGACAAGGAAAACTTTTGGCTCGCATACGAGTTCAGCCACTCGCCATACTACTTTTCGCCGCACGGGACGTCGGCTGCAGGGTATGCTCTCCCGTCCTTGTCCGACGTAGGGTTGTTGGAAAGTGACCCAACTGTGCTGTGTAGCGGGCGCCAAGGCCACGACCCTCAAACGGTCTGCGGGGATATCGCACATTTCTTCCCCTTGGACGGCCGCGACGACATCCTCCACATCAATGGGAATCGGCTTATCAACCCATACATCAAGACCAACAGCGTCAACGGCTACAACCGAAAGTTCGACGCAGGCAAGCTCACTGAAATGGTGGCCAACTTGCCGGAGTACTTTGCTGGCTTACGTCGCCGCGGGCCGACCCCCATCATGCAGCCTAACGGGAGTTGTCCCCAAGAGTGCATGTACCAGCGCGGCGTGATTCGTGTGACGGAAGCACAGCGCCAGTCTATGGCCCAGCGCATCTCAGACTCGTTCGAAGTGGCCGCGGCTATCGACGCATTTGGTAGCCAAGGACTTGAACAATGATGGAATCGATAATATGATCTAGCTATCGGAGTAGAAAAGGTCTACTATACATTCTATGCGCAACGCCCTTCAAATGAATGGGACAGCCGGCAGCATCTGCACCACCCTTTCACGCAAGGTTCGCGTGAAAGGGTGGTGGCGCAGCCATCGGGACAATGCAAGCTCTACAGGCGAACATGTCCCAACCCCGTCCAGGTCGGCGATCGTCATCTACAACGATGACTGTAACCGAGCTCACACCGAGGAAGGAGTTGGTAAATGAAGTATGAATTGGCAGGGTTATGCTATCTAGCTCTCGTGAATGAATATGGAAAGTGAAGGCGACTTGTTTCGGACGGTCCCTGCCAACCTTTTGAAAGGTCGCCTTCAATAATGTCCATGAAGATCTTGACATGCATCCGGATAACCGTTCCGTAGAACTGTTACAATGACCATGGCAACAACGTAGTCATCACACATTCTGTTGCCATCTTCTTCATGTCCGCCGCGGGCCAGTGGCCGGGAAGGCAAAAACAACGACTTCGCTGGTGCCAAACCAAAGTGCCATCTTCCTACGAGGGGTGTTGGCGCACTTGTCGGAGCACGGCGAACAGTTGATCGGTTGCCTCACATGGTGGGGAGCTGCGACGGCAGGCACCAACCAGCCTCCTCGACCTCATGGAATGAAAATTGCTCTCTACTCACGTTGGTTTCCAGGATAGGATACACAGTACAGTATAACATCATTAGGATAAAAGTTGTCGACGTCACAGAAAGCAAATCGTTTGATTCATGTACGGACATCAGCATTTTCACCACTTGACAGATAAAGTTGTAGCGCAAGGCGAAACGAAGGCGCCTAAACAAGTCAACTTCGCAGAGAGCACTGGTGCTTGGAGGAACTATGGCGCGCACAATATATACAATCTTCTAATGGACAACGATTTTTCTCACTCTTACCCACGGTGCTTGCACGGCTTTCCGGGGTAACACGTTGACAACATGCCTCACATGATGCCTGAGTCGTCGCCACCAGTTCGTACAGTCTGCCGGCAATCGCGAGCCTCTTCTCATGTTCTCAAGGGCTACTCTGCTGCCCAGCGCGTGCAGTACCATGTTGGCGGAGGTGACTGGATTTCGACAGCGGTTGGCGCTCGGAAAGTCCCGACGAATTCCCCCTCATAGACAGTGTGCCGATGTGCTGGACAAGTCAGGTCGCGAATCGTCCGGATATGCGCCGCTATTTGCCTTAAAAAGTACAGTTCGTTTTGTCTCCCCGACGGACAGGGAGGCCGTCAACGCAAGCGCAGTCAGACGAGTGCGTGGACACCCAACCTCTCGTGCCATCAAGTGGTTCTTTCATATCGTCTTGTCAGGAAGCGCAGCAGGTTGGCCATACGGGCATACCGCTCCCACATGTCCGACGTCGCTATACTGATGTGAGCAAATCCGCCAGTGTCAATTTGAAGTGTTTCCAGCCGATAGACTGGCGCTGTGGGGGGAAAGTGACGAAGCCCCCCCCCTCCACGACGAAAGCGAGCCGACCAGACGACCGCCCCATGAAAAGTTGAATGCACTACGGTACACAACGTTGCCGCCTCTCGCGTTGCCGATCGCCCATCGGGTCGACGTTCCTGCACGGTCCTTGGTCGCATGTGTACGCCGTTGAGAGGTTTCCCCCTTCGACCTGGCTGCGCCGTCGTCCTCATCGAGCGCCTCGCTACCGACGAGGTGGAATGTCCATGCGCTACGCTACTTGCATCGCCGCCGCTCTCGACCCCAAGTTGCCACCGCCCTTCGTATGTTGAACGTCCACGGTGCGACGCTGCCTGTTCCAGGCCAACGGTGACATGTTTCGCGTCGTGGAGCACCCGGCCGAGTCGCGGCGGCGAACCAAAGAGACGTTGTCGGCGCCCGACGATGATATCGACCCCATCTTGTCCGCCGGGCGTTCAAGCAGCTGGTCGCAGGTGTGCGCCCATAGCTCGCGTGTCCCATAGGAACAGGGGCGTTCGCCACCGGGGGCGCCACTGTGCGGCGGGTACTGCACAGACCGGATTCCAGGTACTACAAGCGATCCACTGGCGACAACCGACGTCAATGACGACGAGTCAAGGGTTGCGGAGGGGTCCCCCCCACTTCGTTTTGAGACGCCACGCCGTGGAAACGTGGCATTTCCATTTCCGTCATGTTGAACAACTACCACACGCTCGAGAAAAAGTCGTTCGACGCAACGACTGGCACGGTCGAATATCCTTGGTACCGCGTCAAGGAGCACTTTACCCGTGAACTCCTTGCCGAGGGCACGGGGATGTTCATCACGATGGCGTTTCTGAACGGCGTGGTCGCTCAAGTCGTGATGGGCGGCAACTCGCATGGCGACTACACCCACATCAACCTCGGTGTCGGTCTCGCCTTCATGATGGGCATCCACACGTGCGGTGGGATCAGCGGTGCCCACTTGAACCCGGCCGTGACAATTGCGCTGGCGGTCCACGGCCGCTTCGAGTGGAAGAAGGTACCGCTCTACATCCTGGCGCAGCTCGTCGGCGCCTTCCTTGCCGCGGCGGTTGTGTTTGCCATCTACTACCCGTCGTTCAACGAATTCGACCCCGTTCGCAGCGTCGCCAAGTCCGCCGGCATCTTTGCCACGTACCCCATCGATTTGTACGCGAACAACCTGTTCAGCGCGTTCTTGACCGAGTTCTTCGGCACCGCTTTGCTCGTGTTTGGTGTGTTCAGCATCGACGACCCGACCAACATGCCGACGAACCCGATCATGAAGCCCCTCACCGTCGCCCTGATCCTCGTCATGATCGGCATGAGCTTCGGCCTCCCCACCGGCTACGCGTTGAACCCGGCGCGCGACTTTGGCCCGCGTCTCTTCACTGCTGTGGCTGGCTGGGGCGTCGATGTGTTCACGGCGGCCAACTACTACTTCTGGATTCCCCTCGTCGCGCCCGTCGTTGGTGCAATTGCCGGCGGCGGAGCATACATGGTCACCATCTACAACCACCACGACCACCACGATGACATGAAGGCTGCCAAGGTCTTGAACGCGTCGCGCGGCTACGTCGCTGTCCCTCCGCATGCTGTCGACGACCATGCCGTCGCTTCGCTTGCTGCTTAAACTTTAACCAAACTCTACGTCCTGCCATCATCATGGTGCACTCCGTCCAATCTCGAGGCGATGGCAGAGTCGACACAAGGTCGACAGGTTGGTTGGATCGCGCAGGATATTCGCCACAACGATACACGTATGCATTTATGTCGTGCACCGTTGACGCCGCGTGCGTCGTCATATTGGACCGCGACGGTAGCGGTGGAAAGCCTCCCCGGTGATATCACCCGTGCAACGATGGTCGCATCGCGGCACGGCATGGCGTCCCTCTTGATTTCGTCTTGACTCTGAGAGCTCTGCTATTGGAGTCCATTTCCCATCGGTTCCAAGGCTTGCCCCATGAACGCCTTGCCCGACAAGATCGCGTCGCTGGCGACGATAAACGATACCTTCACTACAGACAAAACGGTGACGACGTGCACGGCATGCACTTCTTCCACTCGTACGCTTTTTTCCAAGGAAGCGGAGGGCCGAGATCTCGAGGGGTGAAATGCCCCCCACGACCACGACAAGCACGCGTTTCGTCCGTTTGGGCTTGGATGCCTCCTCAACACGACGACTCAGTGACAAAGGCATGGGCAATTGTTTATAGAGTACCGCGGCGAGGACCGCGGATGGTCCTGGCAGCATGTTCAAACGAGCGGTCAGAGGCGTCCACCCGTCTCGACCTAGACCAAACCGTCAGGTCACGTCTTCAGAGAACCGTACTCAGCGCCGCTTGAACGAGTTTGATCAAGAGGGGGCAATATCCCCCTGCAACGAACGACGCATCGTCGGGATTACACGGGTCGCAATCAAAGTGGCCAGTGAGGTCCCACGCGACCAACGGGTTGGTTGGTGTCGTCGTCGGTGGCGCCGCCGCCGTTGAGCCCGTCGTGAGGAGCCCCATCGCTTCCAAGCTCTCAAACACGTGCAAGTACTCGTAGCCGTACAAGTGCAGGCACTGGGTCTTCAACTGCATGTACGAGGCCTTCGGCAGGCCTTGGTTCGCCAAGCTATGCCTGCAGGACGCATGCATGAACAACGGACACAGTGGCAAAGGCGTCGCAGTACAGGCATAACATGCGGAGGACTGTGTAGGCGGGTGTGAGCTGCCACACAAGAGCTTCGATGTCTCCGAGGTGGGGCTGCCTCTCCAGTCTATTGGGACGTACACGTACGAGTCAGTCGGACGGGGCTCATCGCCGTGCGTGGTCCAACTCACATGGCTTTTTCGAGTTGCCACAGATTTTTGAACGACTTCGACTTGGTCGTGGCCTGTACGAGCTCCGCCAGGGCAATGTGCTTGCTCAGCATCGCGACTTTGTCCTGACGAAACGGATGGCGCACACGCATCGGTGAAATTGAACGGCGTACCATGTGCTGATTCATGCTGGCGCCGAGCTCGTCCAGTTGTTTTACCGTGGTGGATTCGGCGTGAAGCAAACGCTCCATGTGCTTGCGCTCCTCAGCGAAGACGGCGCTCGTGCTGTGCAGGTAAGGTCCGATCGCTTGGATGTGCTTGTCACGAATGTCTTGGAAGACCGGATCGTCTCCGTTCAGTGCCCATGTCACCTGCAAAAAGCCGCAATGAATCGCCGCAAGAGCGTGCTTTATCCACAAGACCTGTTCGCCTACTGTCGAAGACGGGGCAGCGCTCGTCGCAGCGTCGCCGTCCGCAGATGGAGCTGCGCCCACAGTGACCACACCATCCTGGAGCCCAAGCAACTCTGCCAGCAACGCCTCGTGCCTACATAAGCAACGCCTCGTGAGCAGATGCACCCTATCGGCGAGGGATGTATACGTGAGCGGTGTCGACAACGGCGCGATGTAGTCAAGCTTTCGGTCGAGGAGGATCATGTGGTCAATGCACAGCTTCTTCAGTCGTGTCGCCGGCGGCGGCGTCGTTGCGTTGAATTCAGACAGCGCCTTCCACACCGCTTTGGACAACTCGCCTTTGTAATGCACGGTGGGGATATCTCCTGCTGTCTGCTGGAGCACATGGAGGGCGTGTCCGAGTTCACTGCGACTCCATGATGATTGCATGCCGTCGATTGAAAGGGATAGAGATCGATATCCTACGTGAGACATGTCTTGTTGCCGTGGATGTAGCAGTCGCGCAAAGCCGTGTCGTGGGCCAATGTGAGGATGTCGTTGTCGAGTGGAATGAAGCCGAGCTTGTATGCATGGACAACCACTTGTTTGTCGACACCGGCACGAACCAACACGTCGGTGCATAGGGCATTCCATGAACCTGTCATCCCGGCGGTCTCCTTGAACCAAGGCCTGCGAGGAGAATCGGCACCCACCTGTATGAAACAGCACAGCCGAAGTGCCGGCGGGGAGTTGCTGGAGATGTTGAGCCACGAGATGGACGTGGGCAGTTCGTGGACGGATCATGTACACGACAGTTGAGCGCGGCATTGGATGTGCTGACGGCAGCATAAGCGAATGAATATCTCGCACACATAGCGAGTGCAAGTCGTCGCCGCCGACATTTGCGAAGTAGTGGAACAACGACAGTAACCGGGCCTCCACGAAGAGTTCGACGTCACCGAGGTTCAGAGACCCCAGAAGCTGGCAGAAACTCTCCGTGGCCGCCTCCCGTATAAGTTTTAGCGAGAAGGCGCTCTTCTCCAGTGAGCATGGTTCGGCCATCTCGACCGCAGTGATGGCGACGCCGTTTCGAGGATTTCACAAAAGGGTTATCCGGTTAAATAATTGCTTACCGGATACTTGCCAAGAGCACCGGCGCCGATAGTCCACCTTCCCGCCGCGATGAAGCTGGTGGGCATGTACAACTGGATGGTACTGTGGACTAAGCAAGCTTTAGATTCAACTGGGACATGCCGATGAGGGTGTGTCATCATTCCTGCTCGGGACGTGTGGCCGGCAAGTGCTGTTGGACTGCGGCTTGAACTTGAGAGCGTTGGTGCACTTACCACTCCACGGGCCATTTCGATTCCACGGACCAAGCTTGCATTTCATCGACGCACAGACAATCGACTACGTCGTAATTTCAAACCACATGAGCTTGCTGGGTCTTCCTCTGCTCACGGAGCGCACAGCATTCCAGGTCCGTTGGCGGCGCGCGATCCCTTCAATCTTCTCACGGATTGTTCCAACTCAGGGAGAAATCTTTGCGACAGAACCATGCGTGCAATTCGGAAGGAGGATGCTTCTGGACATGCTGGACATGGTGGAGAAGCGGCAACGCAGCAGCAACGGCAGTCGGCCGTGGATGTCCCGCGCCCACATTAAGACCCTTCCCCATGCCGACCAACAGCTTCTCCTGGTTGTGACCGCCCATCTGATGTCGACTCACGACAACCGTTCGATTCTGGACGCCATGTAGGACATGGAATATGACCAATGGGCCGACCCGTACACTCGACACGAGATCGACCGGTGTTTGCAGCGCATCACGATCATTCCATATCGTCAAGTTGGTCGCCACAAGTCGAACCTGCGGCTAGGATGTGACCTTTTCATGTTGTTCGCGTAGACTCTGACGTTGTCATACGAACTAAAGCTAACGGCTGTCAGCTCGGGCTTTGCATTGGGTGCAAGCTGCTGGATCATCGAGAGTCCGATGGAGAAGCTGGTACGAGATATAGGGATGCCAACCCACAGTGGTTGTATTTGAATGTACCGTCGCTGTGTAGGTGTATATCCCAGCAGCATCATCCGAAATGAATCGACACCCCACTGCACTGGACGTCAACTTTTTGCGAGTACACGAGCCAGGTCGTTTTTCAGATCGCCACTAATGGATGCCGCAGGACGCCGACATCATGCTCGTGACTGATCTCAAAGACGACCGCGACACACGCATGATCGACAAGCGCCTGGAAACGTTTTTGAATCACCTGCTCACCGTCCACTCGCGCCACGGCACATCGCTCGTCCCATGCCATTTTGACGGTGTCCTCTTCGACTTGCTCGAGAATTTGCAGCTGTTCTTAGCAGCCATCAACCACGCCCCCATTCCCATTTACTTTGTCACGTCTACACCCGTCGACTCAAATCTGTGCGGACCGCAATGGCTATGCAATTCCAAAGCGCAAAAGGTTCAACCTCCAATCCGTGTTTGATTCCAGTCACAAAGGAAACACGAGCGCAGGTATTTGCCGGCACGTCGCCTTTCGTGCACAGCCAACTGATCGACGAGTGCCACCTCCGGCTCGTCGCCCCGGGGTCCCCCGTGCCTCTCGAGGTATTCGCGCCCGCGTCGCTCGCTCCGTCGTCGTTGGCGGTCAACAGCCAGCGTGTAGGAGCCGTGCATCATCTTCGCCAACCATCCGAGTCTTCGCCTGGGCGATGCCGTCGAACTCATTCCCAAGCTACAGCTGAATCCGTCCAACGCGGTGGTGTTCATCGACCCGCATGTCCAGCCGTTCCAAGCGATCGCGCCATTTCAACCCAACTTTCTCATGGAATGGATCCACGCCCCCATTGACTTTCGCCTCTCGTGCAACAATGCCAACATCTTGATTGCCGAATGCAAACCGCAAACGGTCGTCTTGCCCGCATGCTACGTCACGTACGGCAATATGTGTAGCTAGTGCCGTTCGCCAACCTCTGCGTCGCGCGAGTGCCTCCATCGATGGCTTACCACTGACCCGGTTGATGCGGCTATAGTGCCCAAGGTGACGGCCAATGCGTTCGGCTCTTGAAGGATTTGGTCGTGACCCGAGATGCCGACTCGACCGTCCTGCTGCATCACTTGGAGCCTGCAATGGTTACCAAGGTGAAGAAGGTCGTCGATGCCGTCTTGGATCCAGAGGTAAGTGTGTCCGATCCACCAACTCCACATGTGTCCATGTCGGCATACGGGTTACGTGTGCCTCCTGAACAACAACTGTAGCTGGCGGCACAAACGAATTTGACGATCGTGGACAAGAATGCGGCAGCACTCGTCCAAACGAAGCTGTCGTTTGCGTCGGGGCGCATCGAATTGAAGCCCGTGGACGGCGAGTACTGGGACCGAACTTCTCTCGAACCGCTCTCGACGTCGCACGAGTCGAGCACGACGACGCTGTCCAGCGGCGGGCCATGCAAGAAGCTGTGTGTTCGCGAGAAAACCAACGTCCTCCTCGGCGAACTCGACGTCGAATCGCTCTTGCACCAGCTGCAGGTACAATAGCACGACTGTGCGACATTGTTGCGGAGCTAACACGTTGGAAGGACGAGTTTGGTCCGCTTCACATTGAACCGCTCAACATGGCGACCCAAGTCAAGTTTGGCGACACCGTCGTGACCTTTCTCACGAACGAAAACAAGACGGTCGTCGCGTCCGGCAGCGATCTCGTCCGCGCCCGCGTCGCCCACCTCGTTGTCGCACAACTGTGCCAGTTCTAACGCTGCTCCAACCTCCTGTTGTCTCGTACGCGAGAGTGCTTCCGCGAGCCTTGCGATATTGACGGTAGTTTGAAACGTCTAACGTCGTCCATCCATCAATGTCTAGCTGACGACGCAAGGGATGATCAGGTGGATTTGAATCGAGCTGTCGCTGTGCCATGGTCCGTCTTGTACGCTGAAGGGGTCGGGCCAGGTCGACCGTGCTGCAGCCGCTACATTACTCTGGCACTCAACTCTAGTCTTCCCGTCGAGCTCTTAACCCAAACAGCCCTCTCGTCCATCCAAGTTTTTGAAAATTGCCCCAAGAGTGACTGTCCTGTACGGCATGATTCCCCCTAATCTTGTGTCGCTGGATATGGACAGCGATCGATGCCTTGCCCGAGGGCATCGCTGTTTTCCGCCGCCACATCTTCGTACGACGGCCATTCTGTTTGTGCTTGACGGTGGATGGGTTAGCTGGCACTCAGTTGCTGAAACAGATCCACCATAGTCGGCCGCTTGTGTGGGTTTGCATCGAAGGACTACTGCGCGATGACGTCGACGCTGGCCGCCGGGATGTGGGTGTCCGTCGCCTTCATGGCGAATTCAACCGCGTCCAGGTGTCTGCGTACGGAGTCGTGCCGTGGTACGTTTCCCACATCGCCAATGCAAACACTTCCGATACTGGCGAGAACACGTCCGGCGGCGGTTGGAGCGACTCGAGGGACATGTTATCGGGGAGCCCTCGTCAACATGTCCCCGGCAGTCCCCAAACCGTGACATGATGCACCACGGTGACAAAGTAATTCCACGCGGACACGTCGCGATGGAGAAGCGTCGATGCGTGCAAATTCATGAGGCCGTTTGCAGCGTCCCACAGCACGACGGTTCGAATCGACGCTGGAAAGACTGAAGAGGCCGTTGGAGACGAGCGACTCCACCCGCATGTACGACCGCGACCGTCGTGACGGCGTCGAGAAACCGGACGATGCACGGATGATAGCCAAACATGGACAGGACCGCTGCCTCGTGCTCGAGCGCCGAGATGTTGTGGTATCGAAGGGACTCGGCCACGACTTGTTTGTCCTTGTGCGTCGCAGCAGTTGAGGACCTCCACAAGGACGTCCGCAACGATCTTGACTGCGATCGTATGCGGGGCGATCCTTCAGCAAACAGATAAAAAGTGCTGCGTCGACGTCCGCCCCGTCAACGTCTTGAGAAGTGATGGACTCACAAGTTGATAAATCCGTGCGTCGATCGATGTGGTGATGCGTGTGCCGCACGATGCGGACCATGGCCAAGACTGCACCGCCGGGTGACCGGAGTAGGTCTCGACATATTCCTTGAGCTCAGCGATGGTCTCTGCCGTGTGGCAGCCCACAATGAGACGAAGTGGCGATGCGGGCGTCTCTCGATGGGGGGCGAACGCTGTACAATGGGAGGTTTCGTCGGCGGTATTCAGGAGCAGTCGCTGAATTGCTGCAGTCGGTTGAAGACGTTGGCGGTGTCGAGACACTTCGTGTCGACAAGGACTCAAGGGATGGATGGTACACAGGCGCGGCCATGACCGTCCGTCGTTCTCCTCAAGACGGAATCACAAAGGGATTGGAAGCCTTGTTTGTCGCTCGATGACAGCGACGGCCGCCGCTGGGTGAACTGCTGGCGTTGAACGAGAGGGGCCAGTTGTTTCAGCGGCGGCGCCGAGACAGAGTAACGAGCGGGCGATGGGGCGAATGGCAGCGGATACACTGTGTGGAGGGATCGAAACACAGGACGCTGCTGTTGTCGTTGCCGGTGCTGCTGTAGCCTCTGCTAAACGTTCGCTGGATTCGAGTGGGTCGATGCCCAACGCCGAGGGCGCCAACAAGACTTGGTGGGAAACTGCCGTGGATGGCATTGTGGCATCACTACGGGGATCGCAGGAGTCGATGGAATGCATCATTGAATCGATTCATTCAGAGGACAGGCGTGCAGGCATTTTGCAATGAAACACTTCACTAGATTTGGCGCCCAACATGTGGGGCGCGCCATCGACACATTGCAGCGGTAGCAGGATGCCATCAGCGTTTGAAAACATGCCAAATCCATCTTGTGGTTGCAGGACAGCGTGACCACGGGGTGATTGACGTCGGCAACTGGCGTAAAGCACAACCCACATGATCCAAGGGGGTTACGGTCACGAGCAAGCTCTGCAACGACACACTCTTGCCCTCCTTGAAGCAATGTGTTTCCAGGGACTGCTCATGTACGGTCCATTCTCCGTTTGAATGCCTTCGAAGCGCCACTGACACTTGTAAAAGCCGCACGTCGTGGGGGTGATTCGGGTGGTACACAGAGGGCACTGGATGGTGTGGCCCAGCAAGTTGAACGGGCACCACTTTGTCGAGACGATCACGATGTGTCGCAGCCCACGGTTGGGCAGCGTCCTTCAACGCTCAGTCCAGCTTGAACTACACGCCAGCGCGGGGCATGGCAGGAAAACTGGCGCACTGTTAAAACGCCGTCGTTCGACACATCGGCAAACTTGGCCCACGGTGGTGCTGCCACCATCGTGGGGTAGCCACCGCCCCTCAATCTCGGCAACACATGCAAAATGGAATCGCGATTGATCCCATTGTCCATGAGCATCCGTTCTCGTTCGAGCAGCTTCCCTCCATAGATTAAGCGCTGTTGGTCTTGTGGAATCCCCGCCTGATGCTCTATCTCACTGCACACATCTACAATCGTCATGTGGTGGGTCATGGGGATCATAAAGTCGGTGCTCGACAAAGTTTTCACGACGATGAACAACTTGTCCCCATTGTTGGGGGGGGCGCGAGCTTGTACGAAATCACAAAGCGGGGAATGTTCGCATGAAAGTATGACGCATATGCTTCCAAGTCCCCTGGCGACAATTGATGACCATGCAGCCGGAGCGTCCTGCGGACGACGTTATCTTGCTGCAGCTTGGTGGCCAGGGCCTTCTTCATCGACTCGACGGTGGTCACCCCAGGCAATTCCGCGGCATGGAGGAGCAGAATGCGCTGGGCTTGGTTTGTCGCGGAATCCAGCCACACCACTTGCATGGGTTTGGCGATTTTTCACTAGTGACTCTGGTGCACGTCGGCATCCTTACCCTCCGTCCCATTTTTCCCAACAGCGACATGAGGCAGTTGGCACTGTCAGAACGGGCGCGAGGCTGTTGGCTCACCGTGCGATTTGTTGCGTCGCCGCAGCAGTCCAGGTCAAAGACGACCGCGCCGAGAATGCGTGGGGAAAACATACGAGGTCAGGACTTAAAGCGGATGGAAGCATGCGTTGTCCACGCCGCAGCTGCGTGCAACATGACGCTCCCTACCGATCTCGCACGACCCATCGCTGCAGGCCGCCAATTCGACCAAGATAAGTTCACACAGCTAACAAACGGCGCCCCTGGTGGATGCATAGCCCAAATTCCTTCATGGCTTTGGCCTCTTGCGTGTTTCAACAACTCGTGATGGTCGGCATATTCGAAATCGTGTGAAATTGGTCACGCCCTCCCCCCCTTCCCGCCATCACCAAACGGATACCTCACCGCGTCGGCGCTCCAGCCCCCATGTACAAAATTCAGCATTATACCAGACAATACAAACGAGGCGACTTCAATTCAAACAACAATGCTTTTCCCTCCTCAGACTTCTACCTAGCTCAGTCGAGCCCGGCAGAGGGGGCACGTCACATGCGCATGGCGGGCGCGGCACGAACTTGTCCATTGCGTCAGGCACGTCGAATGGATCCGATGGTTGCACAGCAACGACGTTACTCCCAAGTCCCGCAGCTCCTCAAAGCACACGACGCATTCCTTCATTTTGAGGGCGCGAGCAACCACAACGAGCGACTCCCATGCCACCATCGAGCTGCCCTCCGACTTGTATTGGTGAAACACGTTGCCCTCGGCCGCATTCCATCCACTGCTCATGTGCATCCCCGCCTTGGTCCCTTCAAAGCGCCACAGGCATTTGTAAAAGCCGCACGACATCGGCGACACACACTCGTCGCACGCGGGGCACCGCGACCGGTGCTCCAATATGTTGAACGGTCGAAAGCCCTGGGGAATGTACACCGTGCTGCCAAAGGCGTCACATGTGCAATTCACGCACGTGGCCATGAGGTTGAGCCCATGCCCAACGCAGCGCCATGCCGGAGCAGCGGACGAGAACGACACCACTTCCATCATGTCGGGGTTTCCGACGTCGGCAAACTTGACGGTCCCACCACTGCGAGTGGTGGGTTGCGCGGCGGGCCCACCGTGCATAGCGCTACCCCCCACGAGTCGGGCGAGGCCGTGGAGGGTCGCGTTCGGTTGAATGTTGTAGCGGGAGACCGTGTGCCAGTCGGCCAGCTCCACCCCTCCATACACAAGACGTCGACTGGCCACGGGAATCGCATCCTTGTCCTCGAGCATCGCCTTCACTTGGCCGATAGTTTCGTGCGCGTACACGTGCAAACAAACGGTGCGGCCCGAAATCGTCTTGACAAAGAGCGGCATCGTCGCCGCGCGCTTCGTAAAGGCAAGCACAAACCGGGGAGCGTTCACGCGGAGGAATGGGAGATAGGCCGAGGCGCGACCGGATGGAAGGCTGTGGCCATATAGCTTCAAATCGACTTGGGTCGACGCGCTCAGGCGCAATTTCGTCGCCAGTACTTGCTTGAGGTCATACACAGTCATATTGTCCAAGTGACGCACGTCCGACAGTGAAATCTCGACAGTGCCCCCGCCCCGCTTCGTCGCCATGTCCACCCACACCACTTGCATCGTGTCGCCAACCTCTGCGGATGCCATGGCAATCGAATCTCCAACTGAGGTCGAGAGAGCACGACGCCACTATGCAAGCGGGGTTTGTCTCCACCCACTTCGGCAACGGCCCCATCGACTTAACGGCAAGAACTCGGTGCCTTGTCGCTTTTGTCCGCGCCAGGACGTCGTCGATTCAACCGTCACAACGGAGAGGCACGTGTGTGTTGGAGCTACCACCAAGCACGACGAGATTGCGACGCGTCTTGGGCAAGGTGACGTCACGATGGCTTCGTCTGGTTGCAGAACTGGTCCAAGTTGACATGAAGCCGAGCCGTCGGCGCAACTCGAATGCCAGGGACCCATCGAAATCAGCGCCTGCTTGAAGGTACATTACGTTCGACAGGCTTCCTCATTGACATTGTTGTTTGAGATAGTGCTGCAGGTCTCTGCGGACGTCATGTTCGTCCGTCGTGGCTTGTCGCCCGGTAGATGCCGCCACGACTCGCACGGACCGCCAGGCGGTACACACAACTACGAACAAGTCATGGGCATCTCGTGGGGGGGCTCGCCTTGCGATTCACACGTTGGAAGCAGGGCATGTCGTGGCTCTGGGGACATCGATCTCCAACTCATCCAAACACAAACGCCATGCCCACCCTTGACGTCTAGCGGATTCGCACGAGTAGTCGGTCAAAACATTGCGGCGACAAGGTCAAGGTTCCCTGGGTTGTGAGTTGGGCATCCCGCACATTGGCACGAGTCGCCGCAGGTGCATTCGAGCCCAAATGCCATGCCACATCCAGGAACGGTCCACCCGACTGCCAGAGCTGCCGTGTGGGCCATTGTAGTTTGGTACTTGACGCAACCCATGGCATTACATGCAAGCGAACACACGTGAGGGGACGTGGCTTTTGACGTTGGGGCGGATGCCGGCCGTTCGTCTAGACCCAATCCCTCGCCATCAAACAAGGAAACTTCAGTCAGTTGGATGACCATTGTTGCTGCGACCAGCACCACTTCGCTTGCGTTGTAAAACCCAGTCACGTCCACGGTCAGGAGATGCGGCGCCACCACGACCTGCTCGACGCCTTCGACGTGGCTCAAGCATGTTTCAAGGCGCAGCGCCGAGTCGGTCGTGATGTGGTGGTCTCGAGTTCGCTGAATCGTGAACCTACTCGATGTGCCGCGTCAACAAGTACTGGCACAGGTCTGTGTGCATATACCGTCGATGGCGAGGGACAGGATGCAGCGAGATCAAGTTGGCCTCAAAACCAATCGCTTGGACTCGAGCGATGAGCGTGTGTGTCGTTACAGTGTTGGGACACATGACAATCACTTGAGCTTGGTCGAATTCCAACCGCACCTGCATGCGTGACCGCTTTACCATTACGCAAGCGGTCGAGGCATTCAAACGTACCTGAAGCACCGATGGGACGTTTTGAATCGCACGGACGACGGTGTTGCCGCAGTTGGCGATGCACATCATCCCGTGGACTTCCAAAGTCGCTTCGACGTGGACGACGGTGTCTAAGTCGTCCACCACACTGGCTTCTAGCACGGTAAAGTGCATTGAAAGTGCGGTCATCGCCGCCTCCAGTGCGGCTTCAGATAACTCAGGCCCTCCCCGCACGACACAACACAGGCTCGACTTTGTTTGGCGCTGCGCCGTTGACACGGCGCAGCGGTAGCCCAATATGTGGACACTGCGAACGTGTGGCTCGCTGCGCAAGACCGCAACCACTCGACTTTCAGTCCACGGATCCCGCAGTTGCACTTGGACCAACAGTCGGCGGTAGATATAAGCCACGCTCGTAGATGATGACGACATGACAGGTGGGTGCAAAGGCGCTTCCTTTGATGTAGGCTGTGGGCGGCGCATTTCCGAGGGCGCGAAGATGGAACTGTCGTCCGAGTGCTGCAACAAGACCTAAAAATCGATCGACGCAGTCAGGGGATTGGAAGCTGAAATACGATATGATGCAATGGGCACCGACCTCGTTGATGTCGTGGTGAATAATGCTGTGGTCGCGGCATCGACCTTGACCATCGCGAGCGAGCTTCCTGCAGTTTGGAGTGTTGCACACTGGCGACCCACCATGATCAGGGCACATTCCGTTCGCCCCCCGACTCATTTTCTTGCAGTCTGGGGCTTTGCATCGCCGACCGCCTCCATGCGCGCGGCAGTACCCACCGCCTTGGCTGTTCTTGTTGCAAGATGGAAACCCACAGCGCTTCCCGCCACCATGAGCCGTGCAAAAGCCACCGCCAACATCAGCTTTGGTGCAATCAGCTATTTTGCAACGTTTCCCACCACCATGCGATCGGCATAGACCGTGGCCAGCATCGACTTTGGTGCAAAAAGGAAACGTGCATCGAGACCCGCCGCCGTGATTCCTGCAGAACCCACCACGTTGGTACCCTTTGGTGCAGCCTGGGTACTGGCAGAGCTTTCCACCACCGTGGCCCACGCACAGGCCTCCGCTGGTCGCCAACTTGTTGCACCCGAGCTCTGCGCACCCCTTCCGACTCGCTCCCATGAACCAGCAAATTGATCACAATCAACTGTGTTCATTCGACGTCGATTCGTTTACCCTATTAAACGTATCTGCGTTTTTCAACAATTTAGATTCCACGAGCAGTCAAATTATACCGACTTGAACGTTGGGCAATGGATTATGGCACCTGCGTGCAGACGTTTCATCCTCTGCATATATTCCATCTAATATGAGCACGTGTGAGCGTTTTATCAACTATGGTTTTGCCTACCAAGTCGGCCCATCTCTGCTGTTTTTTGGAACGACAGCAATCAAATTGCTACGAAAAGACTCATCAGTAGAATTGACGAACAGGAGAGATGTTTGCACTGGTTGTTGCTGACGCAAGGGTGGGTCGCTGTGCCAGGTTTGGCAAGTGATGAATGCTTACGTTTATCCAAGCCATTTAAACGCGTTCTTAAAGACGCCTTGCTTTTCTCAACATGCCCAATTGGATGCAAAATTTCGGGTTTTGTCTAAATTATCCATTGGAACATGCTGCATATGGTAAAAAGTTTTGCAATTGTCGCATGACATGAAGAACCTTTGAAATATAGTATCGATTGCAGCAGGTTGCACACGGAATTGGCGGCCAACGCCGCCGAGATGACCGAAGACCAAGCATACAACATCTCATCGAAGCCATGTGCGTACCGCTCCATGGTACAATCAAGCATGAACGTTTTGGCTTGTATAGGGTGTAAACTTCAGGAGTTCTATCCAAAGGTATGGCTTGGACACGTCAGCACCGCGATCGTGACGTTGGCATTTTTCCAGATCATTTCACCGACAGTGCCGCTAACTCCTGAGCTAATGGAGCTCCACACGTTCCTGCTCAATCAGAAGCCAAATACCGAAGTGGATGCAGGTATCGCCAGGCACGCATGAAATGTGTGTCGTGGCAGCAACGTCGAAACCTGCTGTAGCGTACATTTCCATGAACAAGAAAGAGATGGAAGCCAAGATGCGCGAGTTGGAGAACTGGAATTTTCGACTGTACTTGGACGAAGGAAAGGAAATCCGCCGCGGTCAGCAGCTCAAGGTCCTCACCGGCGAGTTTCCCGTGCCAATATCGGGAGGTGTCAATGGAAGCAGCTCTGTCGCGGCATCCAAGGAAGCCGCCACCCATGAAATTTCGACTCGCACGAGCGCCAAGCGTCCACGAAGGATGTAATCTATCTATGCTTCATGTACTGCGCTCCGACGAAATCACTTAGCATGTTCGTGATGCCAACGGCTGCGTTGACGGTGGCTTTGCCACGACTCTACACACCTGCCACGCACCTCGTTGACCTCGTGGTATTGGCAAACAAAGAGCGCAGCTTCGACGACGATAAAACAGCGTACTTGTTGATCGTGCTCGCACGCATCCGTGAGTTCGACGTGCCTCATGACACAAGGAAGATCGGAATGCATGCATGCCCACATCTAGGCGATGATGTAAAGTTTGCCCTAGCACGAGCACTTGCCATTCTGGAAGCCGCCTCGCATGGTGCCTCTGCGCCCAGTGCATGCGGGCTTGCATGACGTCGGCACGTGTCAAGGTCACGCATTCAGTGCAGTGAGCGGGGAGGAGCATCTCCTTGCTAACGCAGAACTCCCTGTAGTGATAGCAACTACAGAATTCGCCCTTTGCGAACGGCATCATGTTTGATGGCGGCGCCATTGGCCATTATACTACCTAGACGGTACATGCACCGCGGCTATGGACGTACGTCGCCGCTTTGTCAGGCGCCAGACGGGAGTGACCATGTGCTGGTGTGAACTGGTAGTGCTCAATTGTTCCATGGTGCTGACACAGCCAAGGGACAACTGTCGACGGGAGCAGGGCGTAGATACTGACCACATAGAACACGCCTTGTGAATGTGAACCTGCAGGAGCTCCATGATCGGGTTGTACGGACTTGAATCTAGACCAGAACCAAACGAAAATGAGCCACACATTACTCTGGCCAGTGCACGAGCACGCGCCACAGGATGGGCTTAAGCCACTGTCGTCGCGCTGGCACGTCTACGTACGTGGAGGCTTGCGGTCGTAGCGCGACGAGCGACGAATACCCCATGAGAGCTTGGGTGCTACCCACAGCAGCGATGTCAAGCCGAGTTGTGTTGGTGGATTCGGGATGGCAAAGGCGGCGCCAAGGGGAGTAGTAGTACCTTGGTTTGCAAAACACTTTCGTCCCAATCTTGATTGCGTTGGTCTGTTCCAGCGGCAGCGACGTGATCCAATTGGGAACACCGGCATGTCGAAGGAATGCGTTGGACTGGCACCACGTGACGTGGGTGAGGTAGCTGCGAATCGCACCACGAATGAGGTCCACCGACGGCGACGAGCGGAAGAGGCAGCCCATACCTGTGGTGATGGTACTTGTGGAGCAGAGCCGCGACAACAACGGCGGCCACGAACGACGCGATCAACGGATGGAGAATCTCCCAGATCAAGTACGTCATGACGGCTGGCGTCCCTTCGACCGTGTATGACCCGCACGGCCAGGCTTGTCCAAACAGCTCGACAGCTACGATGTGGTGGTGAGGAATCGGTGGGCACGTGCAGCTTTCAGAAGAAACGCACTCAAGGCAGGCTTGGCCGCGTAGATCTTGTTGTAGACGAACTCAAATACAGCCGGGATGCAAGACGCCGTCGTAGTCGCGACGATGGCGCCGTGGAGAAAGAGCGGCGCCGAGTACCCCACGACGTATTCCAGGCGGCACGTGACTGCTGCGTCCAGGAAGCTGCACAGCCAGTCCGTCATGATTTCGCTACATGAAGTCAATGACGCTGGAAGCCCCTGGTACCTCAGAACGAGAACGACCCCGAATGCAAAGAAGCTCGCCATCATGACGCTCGCCAAGCACCAAATTCGATACCCGTTCGTCGTGAAAAAGTAGATGCGGGACACGTCCATGTACAAGAGCCCTGGCATGCAATTGACGACGACGGCCACGAGCAGCATCTAAACATCCTTGATGAGAGGCCTGACGTCGGTCGGAGGCGGTCTCATGGACCTTGCGTCGTTCGAGCCCCGCCAGGACGGCGTACGTGAGCACGGGCTTGCCCTGCAGCACTCCGCGAAACCCTAGCGTAAGGACGGTCACGACAACGTCGTTGGCCATCTTTGCATACCTTCCACCGTGATGTAAATATCGCCCGCGAACAAGGCCATCGTGGCCAGGGAGCAAATCATTTGCAACGCGACGAGCTCTTTCCAGTTGGACACTCGATGGCCGCACGCCCATGCCGTCGTCACGGGGTGTTTGGAATGCTTTCCTATTGTTCAAGCCCGTGCGATGAAGGTCGTGCGGCCGACTTGGTCCGCCTTTACCTTGGCTCCACCCCGGCAAATTGTTGTCGGTTTTGGCGACGCTCAGCTCTTCGATTTGAGGAACGCAGTAGCCCGTGACCAGGTACCTGCAATGGACCGCTGACGCCAACAGGTCGGGCCAACGGTGTGGCTACCGTTCACCGAGTGGGCGAGAATAGATGATGTTGTTTTCGCCCGAAGGATCTGGCGTGACAAGTCCGTCCATGGCAATGAGGGTCCGCTTCGGGTTCGCCATGACGTTTTGGGCAGTGCCGTCCGAGTTTTGATAGCTCATCACCGTCTACGCAAGCCTGGCAAATCCCAGCACCACGATCGAGGTCGTACCATCGTCGAGTCCATGTCCGCGTACAAGGTCAGCATGTACACGCCATTTGGCTGTGCAGGGCGGATCTACCACGACATGGAGTTGTGTTGAGGTCGGGTGGTTCGACGTCATCGCACGGCCAGAGCAGCCCCCTCAGGCGGGGTGTTGGGCTTATCCGCGATGCGCACTGACCGTGGATTCCAGCATCGCGATGCCTGCAATGTCCTGAGGCGCCGTCGGGATGCATGCTGGGTACGCGTCGTATCTAGCAAAAGTCAAAAGGGATGAGTCCGCGACGACGGAGCAACATGCAGCCCATTCGGAGGACGCACCCCCCGATGAATTGGAGATTGCCCCACCCCACGGCGTCGGTGCCTCCCACCGCGCACGTCGTCACTTTTAGAGTCCCCCCAGCTACACCCAACACCACGTCGTGGTGGTCCGAGTCCGGTTGCCGTCGCGATTCACCAAAGCGTACCGTCCGCGATTTCCTGTGCCCACTGGGTCGCTAGAACTGTGCCAATCGACGTCCATGCGGTCGCCGGCGTGGCCTTGGATGACATGCTGTCGCATCTACGAGTCGAGTCGTCAGCACGCATCGCTGCATGTCGGTCCGCACGTACGAGTCGGCCACCCACCCCGCTTGAGTCAACTCACACGACTGGCTGTAGTTGTTCCAGTACATGGCAGTCGTTTGAAAGTTGTGGGATACAATCAGTCGGTTGTACATGCCCTGGAGCGCGCCCGTGATGCGTTCGTAGCAACGGTCCCAGCGCACCTGGTAGATGAGCACGGCCAGGGTCAACATGGGCAAAAACAGGAGCATGCTTGCAATCACGTTCGATGCCACACGAAGCAGCGTCTGCACCCGCGTGGACTTTTCAACGACCTTGTGACCGCTTTCCCCCGTCGACTACAGCGCATCCGTGAATTCTCTGCCATAGACGTATCCATCCTCACCCCATGGTGGTCCCCTGCGTGGGTTGTGTGGTTGTGGCCGACGCTCGATCGACTCGGGCAAAACCCGAGCAGCGCCATCAAGTGATTCGATGACACTGGAACGTACGCGACTTCAGGCCAAATATAGTTGGCATGCAACAGAATCTGCGCCATGTCGGTTGTATTCATAGCCAACCCCGTCAACATCCCATCCATCGAGAGTATTCACGAGGGGGTTGCGGGGGGGGACTACGTCGGCTAACTGAGACCGCCCCCACCGCATGCGAAAGACAGACATCCGCGCGGCAAGAAAAGAATTCCGTGATGTAGGAGGGGCATGGCTTTTCGACTACGACTTACACGACGCAAGCGCCGCGGGTGTGCTTGTACCGCGCCTTCTCGAGCTTGGCTCGTGAATGTGGAGTGAATTGGTTGTGCTCGATCTTGCCATATTGCGTCCAGATGGACGGCATGATCATGGACGGAACCAGCGCGTAGATGCTGATGACAAAGTTCGGGACGTTGGGCTTGGTCCCAGTGGACTCTTTTCGGCTGCTAGTCCACTCGCTACCAATCGAGCATCAGCCCAGTGTGTGCAATTGCTGTCGCGTACCCCCGAGCCACGACGGTGGCATACCCCATCAGTGCTTGGGTACTACACGATCGAAACAGGTCAGGCGCGACCGTCGCCTCCTTCGACTCGGCGCCATCGCAGCATGAATCGTACCTCGGCTTGCAGTACATTTTGCTGCCAATTCGGATCGCGTTGGACTGCTCGAGGGGCAGCGATGTGATACAATTCGGCACTTGCACGTGCGTCAGGAACGAGTTGGTCGCGCACCATGACAAGTTCATGAGCACACTGGACGACCACACCCGTGAGTGCCGTCCACGTGGTGGTGCCGGCATATTTCGTACCATTGGTGGGCGGCGAATCGAACGACGGCGGAGAGGAATACCGCACATGCAAAGCAGATAAAGAGCGGCGCGACGACAGCAGTCTCCAAGTGCGACATCGCGATGGGCGTGCCAGCCGCCGTGTACGACCCGCTCGGCCAGTCGGCATCGTTCACATGGAGCGCTACAGGACCGCCCCACCACCGTGAGAACGACAAGGCTCTCGAGTGCCGTGTGCACTTGCAAGCCACGTACTGACTAACGGCGACGCGGCGTAAAACATGTTGTACGCAAACTGGTACGTCGAGTCGTTGCAACAAGCGATCGTGATGGCCGCGATCGACGTGTACAAGAAGAACGGCGCCGAGTAACTCATCACGCGCGACAGACGGAGCGGAATCATGTCAACAAAGCTCACAAACAGAACGAGGCCGAACGAAAAGAAATTGGCAATCATGATGCACGACAGCGTCCAGATCTTGAACCCGTTCTCGGTAAAGTAGTAGATGCGCGACACGTCCGAGTACAGCAACCCGGGCATCGCGCTCAGCACAGTGAACACGAGCAGCATCTAGCCTCATTGCTCACGTGGAGGAATTGCCGACATTGACGGCGTCGGCTCACCTTGCGACGTTCCAAGCCTGACAAGACCGTGTACGTGAGCACGGGCTTGCCTTTCAAGACGCCTCGAAACCCTAGACAGCGACGGGGAGGGCGTCGCCCACACTATGGGGGGTGTCTGTCCTACCTTCAAATGTGATGTAGATGTCGCCTGCAAAAAGGACAAGCGTCCCGATCGCAAACAGAACTTGAAGCACGATTAACTCGGTTGCGTTCGACACTTTGTGCCCGCACGCCCATCCCGGGGCGACAGGAAGCTTGGACTGTTTGCCTACAACGACGTGTGTGTGTGTGGTTCGAGTGACACGAGATCGGTCGTTGTACCTTGGCTCCATCCTTCCAGCCCTTGGTCGACCTTCACTTGGCTCAGCTCTTCGATCTCGGTTCGACAGTACCCTGTCACCAAGTACCTGCAGACCTGGTCAAACTCGAGTGCGGCTCGCGCAAGGTTACCGTTCGCCCAGCGGACGGGAATAGATAATGTAGTCGCCGCCGACCAAGTCGGGCTCGGTCTGTCCATCGGCCGTGATGATCGTGTGCCGTGGGTTCGCCATCAAGTTTTGAAATGTTCCGTCCGAGTTGGCATAGCTGTACACCGTCTAGGCACGACAAGACCCGGTCAGCCAACGCAGTTGCCAAGACGGTACCCACCATGGCTGGATCCAAATCCGAGTACAGAGTCAAAAAGTACACGCCTTCGTCGTGATTGTCGCGAATCTACCAACGCACGTTCGCTCGCGGACCCGGCGACATGGCGTACCGTGGTCTCTAGCATGGCCATGCCAGCAACGTCTTGGGGAGCGGTCGGCAAACAGTCGGGAAAGTAGTCGTATCTGGCCGAAATGTCATCATCGCTGGTCATCGTGGCTGCCCCCACACGACGTACCCCGCGATGAATTGCAAGTTGGCCCACCCCACGTTTGCCGTGCCCCCAATGATGCACGTCGTAACCTTCAACGACCCGCCCGCTACATGCATGCATCGACATGAGGGCGGCGGCGCTTTCGTTCGAGCACCTTTGTACCTTCCTTCATTTCACGCGACCACTGGTCCGCCAAGACAGTGCCGATCGCTGCAAACGCCGTGATGGGAACGACAGCGTTCGTTTGCGCGTTGCAGCTACAACACGTCGTGAAGATATCGCGTCGTTGGAAATGCGATGTGATGGTGGAGGAGCACTCACGTGTCAGGCACCCATCCCCCTGCCGCCACGACGCACTCCTTGCCGTAGTCGGCCCAGTACATTCCGGCCGTCTGGGTGTTCACCGACACGACTAGCCGGTCAAACATGCCCTGTCACCAGTGCACACGTGGTCAGTGACCGGTCAAGGGCGAAGCGGGGGTGGGGAGCTCAGGGGGACGTCTTACCTGAGTGATCAGCACCACGAGGGTGAGCGTCGGCAAGAAGAGGATCATGCCAGCTACAACATTCGACGCCACTCGGGCCAGAGCGACGTACACCGCCGTTTTTTCGTTGTCCTTGGTCGGCACATCACTTCGGGATGAGCTCCGATTGCTCTAGAGCCGAGTCAGATCTCGCATGTGACGTTCCATCGATACCGTCGTGATCGAGCTGCCCGTGATCGAGTACTTGAACGACTTGAGCGAGACGATGAGCCCGGGCATGTCGACGCCTGTCCTTGGATTTTTCTAGTCTCGGGTCTTTGACTTGGTAAACCACGTTGCCAAGAATAGCAAGACGGACGTGCCCCTTTCCAAACATAGCCAAAAGACATGCGACGTCTCCGTGGGGCGTGTGACATGCCGTCCGGTCGCCATCGTACACAGCAGCGCATGGGCACGACACAATGGCCATCGTTCGGTCGAGCGCATGCTCGGTGAATCCACTCCGACGCTGCTCACGCCAGGGCGGTGAGGTCCCTTCGAGTCTCCACTTTCCCAGTGGCTGCCGTTGTCATGGGCAGATGATACTGCCAGGAGAGTCTCGCGGCTGATGCGTCCACGAGAAGCGCGACATACTCTCGATGATGCTGACAACACAATGCAACCCGTAGGGGGTTGACGATGATGTTAGTCGTGGCGCCGTCGTGACCAGCAACTGGCCGCGAGGACCGTGCGGCATCCGCAGCGGAACACGTCAGGTCCCGTTCCCACGTCCCTCGTTTCAAAAGAGCAACGACAGGGTTATCACAACAACGTGCATCATGGATTTGTGCTCGTTCGCTTCCGCAGCATTGCCTTCCGGTACGCCTCCCCCGCCACTGTCGTTGCGCTCGACGCCATCGCGACTACGTCATGCATTCAAAACAAAGTCGATTACCGTCGAAACGAGTTCATGAACTGGAGAAAGTATGCTTGCTGCTCGTTGGCACAGTTGGCCTGGAGCTGCGCCAGATCCATCGTGCAGCGTGGCGGGGGGGTTGTTGGCACGGACGGCGTTTTGCCCACAGTGAGCCCCACCGTACTTGTGAGCGTGATGCGGTAGGTGCCCTCTGCCTTGGGCGATGGGTTCTCGCCGACGCAGCTCTCGAGGGCAGCCCACCTGTACTCATTGACGCTTTCGCCGGCGTTCTTGAGCGACAAGTTGCTAACACCCACGGCCACGATGTGCGTCCCCTTGGGAAGCGTCGCCACCAAGTACGAGTCCTTCTTGGACACACTGCCGTCGGCGCGCCCGTCCGACGGCCGCAGCATCCAGTCCACGTCGTCGTTGAAGTAGGCATTGTACCGCGGGACGGTCGGGTCCCGCGAATACACGTACACGTTCGAGTCGAAAAAGTTGAACCGGCAGTCGTTGTTCAGGTCGGCGTAGGCGTTGGCGACTTCGTCAATCTCGTACGACAAAATGTCGACGGCCACTTGGCCAGGACCGTCCAAAGTGATCTCGTACTGGTCGACGGTGGTTTGGAATGACCGTGTCGTCGTGCCGAGGCGCCGAAGGACGCCGTTGAATGCTATGGGGGATCCAAAGAGTCCGAGGGGGGGACGGGGATTGACGCGGGGGTCGTTGAAAGGCGGGATAATGCTAGCCGCCGCTGTCGATTTGGGGACAGCGATGGCATTCAGAGGCAATTGGAACCCTCGTTTCTTCAGGTCCGCGACGATGGCGACCATGGGAATTCCTGCATTGTTGCAGCTCGATGCGCCGCAGTAGTGGAGCGCCACGACCGAGTGATCGGTGGCCGAAATGACGGGGGACCCGGACGACCCGCCGTCCGTATCGGCGTTGTACCGGAGCCCACCTTTTCCCTCACAGCTACCGAGGGTGCCAACGACGTTAGCATGGGCCTACTGTCAAGCGAAGGATCGTGTACCCTGCCGTTTGAACGCTTGTGATTGCAACGGGGCGGCGTGTCGTCGAGTCGACAAACGATATCAATTTGCACCCTCCACGGGGGTGCTGAGGCACGTAGACAGGCATCCCCACGCCGGCGGGAACTTCGGTGGTTTGGAGGAATCCGTATTTCTGCGCCACGGCGGCGTCGAGCTTGAGCAATGTGTAGTCGAGTGCCGGGTTTGTAAAGACCAACTTGGCCGACATGACCTCGATCGAGCCCGGGCAGGTCGATCGCATGGACGCATCGCAGTCGAACGTTTCCGCGACGAATTCAAACTGCGCCGTCGTGGCTTCCGCGACGCTGCCTACCCCATGGTGTAACAAGTCGTTCAATCATGAACAACATCGTGCGGTTGGGAAGGCGACCGACGCACCGATGCAGTGGTTGTTTGTGATGACGTGCCCGTCCGAGCCCCACAACCACCCCGTGCACAGATCCGTTCCAAACGGATTGGTTGGGTCCACCGTGATCCGCACAACAGGGCGGGCATGGGCGTACATGGTATCTGTCGCGCCAAGAGGGGTGTACGTGCAAACGGCATGCACGCTGTCGTCCGTGCCGCAAAGCGCTTCGCGGCGACCGAGCGCTTGAGTCTGCGCGACCAAGTCGTCGTTTGTGATGTAGGTAAATGCGACCACTTGCAGCGAATGGACCACGGAAAATTGCACGTGGCGGTCCATGGCGTAGATCTCAACCACTAAGTAGTTGGTGTATACGCGAGGCAGCGTGATGTTGGCGTAGTGTGCTCCACTTGGAAAGAACGTCGACGCGTTTGTGGGGTTCTCGGTGGCCGCGAGGGGGCGCAGCAGAACGTAGCTGTTTGACGGCAGCGACAGGGACGACAGCTGCAACGTGATGGAGACGGCATCGCTCTGAAATATGGGTGGGCTAGTCCACACAGGGTCGACGAGTGGCACCAGCTCGACGCTGTCAGCACCAGCAAAGCGATATGTGGCTGGCAGCGTCACAGCCCGCAAGGCCGTCGCAACTGAGACGGCCAGCGCCATGGCTACCAAGACAGCCCAAAGCGCGCGTGGGCGAAGCATGCCAAGCGACCGAGATCGCAACAACTTCTGTTGTGAACAAGCCTCCAGTCGACAGTCGAAATCTATTTTTAGCATGGAGACGTTTTACGACGCAGTTAAATGAAGTTGGCGGTTGGGCCGGCGGTCGTCGGCGGTGGCAAGATCACGCCAGCTCGCCGGGACACAGCGCAAAGGCGCAACTGGTTGCTGGCTGTCGATAGCGCCACGACCCATCCACGCATATCTTGATGTCGCCATTGCACGGCTACAACAACAGGTCCAACGTTCACGTCACCACCAGCACATCATGCAGGCACCATGCGCAGCAGTTCAACTAGGCATCAAGAGAGATTCCGTACCTTGGCGCGAAGGGTATACGCTTCAGTTGTTGCCCCCACGAATGCTACAAGTGGGAGAACCAAAGCAAGGCACTGCATCTGGTGCCCGGGGTCAGGAAGATTGTGCCGCAGCAACTGCACTCACTTGGCAGCTCACCAATGGATAACTCATCATCACAGCGAGCCCAGCGACGGCTTTTACCTCGAGCGCATAGGGTAGCAAGCTCCCATCGTGTTTGAATAGCTGGTTTTTACTCTGGCTTACCCAACCGTCTCCGACTTCAATCTCGCCATGGCGGGGTGCCCCCCCCATCGTTGGTGACGAATTTGACTTGATGTTAGTATTGGCCTTTTTTGGGGGGACCCAACCACAAACTCGAACTTCGAAGGCCGCTTGAACACCAACCCCAAGACACACTGCGACGACGTTGACCCACACGCGAGATGGCGACATCCGCGACGAAGCGGTGGCGAGCTGGCGTCGGTCGTCGCATGCTCATGGCACGGCGGGGTTTCCTTGCCATGCCTGAGTTCTTGCAGCCGTCTAGTTTGCGCAAGGAACATCGCGAGAAGAAGATCGTCCCGTTCACATGCCAAGCAATGTTTGATGTCGTGGCCAACGTGGATGCCTACGTGTCATTCCTGCCGTTCTGCGTGTCGTCCCGCGTCGTATCTCGGCCATCGACGAACGTCATGGAAGCTGATTTGACTGTCGGGTTCCAGATCTTCACGGAATCGTACCGATCTCGCGTCGAGTTGGAGTCCCCACACCGCATCTTCATCAAGTCGATCCACTCTCCGACGTTCAAGTCCATCGAGAGGTACTTCTTCCAGACCTTGATCGTTCGCGCACATGAGAGACGCCTTGTTGTAGCGAGTGGATGTTTCGCCAGGTTTCAGAAACGTCATGCGAAGTCAACTTCCGCGTATCGTTTGAAGTCGGGTCGATTCTGCATGCCCATGCGATGCGGCTCTTCTTTGACGACGTCGCTCGCGTGCAGCTCAACGCATTCATCGGGCAAGCGTCAAAGTTAAACAAGCTCAAGCAGCCCAAGCACCAGAAGGAGCTTCAACAACAGCAGCTCCTCCTACACGAACCGCATCATCAACAATTGGTGCACACGACTCCTCCTCCTGCTCGCGAACCACTGGCGAGCAAGGGCAAAGGGTCGTGGTCGGTCCCGTTTCTTGACGGAAAGGTATCGGCGCCGGTGCTGGCCCACCTCAAGCACGCGTTCGTTTCCCACGCCACCAAACTCGTGGAGCACACAGAGTCGCCCAAGTTGACGTTGGCTGGCTTTGGCGCTGCCTGCCGCGACCTCGTGCTTACGTCGCCATGGGCAAAAGCGTCTTCGACTGTGGCGGACTTGCACTCCATCAGTGCCAACTCCCAATCAGGTACGCATTCAACGTTGGGATATTTGGTCGCGAACGGGATCGTCACCACCACCAGCACTGGCATTTGCTGTGTTTGCCAGCTATGCCATGCCCAGCCACCACCAGAACAGCATGCAGGAACCGAGCGTGCAAAAGGGACTGTCCTTTACAGAGTTTGCCGTACGAACGAGCGGATCGACAACCAAGTCATCGTGATGTGCTTGATCTCTAGACGGGCGTGTACTTGACGCTGTACGGGACTGTGGACGACAAAGCTGTCCACATGTTTCAAGCTATCGATACCCAGCACGATGGCCGTCTGAGTCCCGACGAACTGCGGCGCGCGATGGAGCTACGTCTTCGGGTAGGCAGGTTTCTTCTTACGGACGTCGTGGGAATCCATGGTCGAGTGTAGGTCGTGCGGGAGGTGTTTCCGCTGCTGCTGCAAGAACAACTTGCGCTGGCCACATCGTCGTCCCCAAACTCGTCCAAGAACTTGAACGAAGAAGGGATGAAAGCGGGGCTTATGGCGATTGAATCGCTCATGTCACAAGTCGAAGGCGACATCCCGCTCGCTGTCCGTCAAGTCTTTCTCAGCATGACGCTTCAAGAACCGAATCACATCAATCTCACCGAATGGCGGCGCATGTGGTACGTGGACGATTCGCATCTCCAACGACGTTCGGTGCATCTCACCGACAACTTGGGCAGGCACGACCACCCCGAGCTCGTTGAGATGATGACGATCGACGGCATGAAGAAGATCTTGCGCGTCGCGACCGTTGTCGCGCCCTACTCCGGCTAGAATACCTCTGTAATTATGCCTGCATGCGCCCCGAGCACATCGCTTCCTCGACTGTCCACCTCCCCATCGCATCGTGTAGTGTCCCTGGTGTCCCTTCCACCTCGATTGTCGCAACTACCTTCACTTGGCACCTCGAAGTGTACGCCGCAAAATCTATTGAAGCTGAAAAATCCGCCAAAAATATTGTGCTTTTGCAAGATACACACAAGTGGAGAACATTTTCGGAGCGGGAAAAAAATTCGCAAAATATGCGAAAAAATTTCGAACAGGTATCGATTCTCATGTCTTGATGGAACATTTCATTGGCTGAAATGTGCACCTGTCGTTGGTTGAGACATGGACGAGGTGGAGTGAGATCGCAGTCCGTCGTTGGATAACTTACGTAGTGAGGAGGAAGATAACGAGGAGTCAACAGCGAACTTGTGTTTTGTAGTGGACACACGTCGGTCCTGTGCATGTGCGAGCTCTCCATTTGACGACAATGTCTGTAGCCACCTCATCTCATTGGATTATGAAATTCTGGCCAATCATATCGAGGAATTCATGAATGAGCCAATAGGCGTGACTTGTGACAGGCAACATTGACGCGGTTGAGATATTGTATCAAGTCAACGCATGTTGCAATACTCCGGCGTATGGAATAATTTCACAATACCCCACGGCCAGCTCACTCGCTTCGAATGCCGCTCTCGTCTTCAACGTATTCGAGGCTGGCCACCACACACATCCATGCGTGCACTAGCCAAGTACCGGCCGTACCCAGTGTAGGCCTGTCTGCCTTATGCGTCCAAAGCACCCACCGCAACGTCGACAGCACGCCGAGGGGCGATCGCCAACGCTATATTTGCCCCTTCGAGCACCTATGTACCAGAGGTCGAACTGGTCGCCTGGCACAAAGGGGCGGGTCGCGCATGTCTACTACACCACCATCCATTACGCGCAAGCGTTTCCTTTCCATTCCCCTGCATGGGCGTGCAGCGTCCACCTCTCGAAGCCCCGCGCGCATCCTCGGATTGTCGTCGTTGGAATAGGAACAAGAAATAAACGTCGCATTCCCGTGGAAGCCATTCCAAACGTGTTCGCTTCAAAAAACGGGGAAGTGTCCACTTCCCCGTCGAGATGCTTGGGGGTATGGGCGTCGTGCTGCCACGTGCATTGTGCACCGTACCAGCGTCGAAGTGACCGTGCCGTAGCGGGCGCGATGACGGTGGACCGGTGGTGTGTGGTCGGGATGTACCACCACCTACACAAGTTGCATCAAACACACCAGGGCAAACGAATGTTCGAAACCTGTTCTAGACGTTTTCGTAACCTGAAAATAACGTGTTCTGGACCTTTTAGTATCTTTGGTGCATTTTGTACCCTCCGGATACTACACTGAATACAAATTCCCAGATGAAATATCCGGATTTGACCCTGCTCAACACAAGTCACCACCACGGTGGCCCTGGCGGACCATTTTTCAATTTGAAGCGACTTGAACCAGTCCACACTTCCCGAATCAAGACCACCACAATGTTGCCGCAGCAGTCCCCCATCGACATCAACCCGAATGCTGCCAAGGAGATCGTGATGGACAATGACGCTGGCCAAATCCATGTGTTGCTCGGTGCTGCTGGGGGCTGTATCCAACACAGCGGGTCAAACTTCAAAGTCAACTGGACTGGTGACGGCAAGTCGGTCTTGAGGCTTCGCGACGGCCGCGAGTACCGTCCGATTCAATTCCACTTTCACACCCCCTCCGAACACACGCTGGAAGGCAAACGGTTCCCGTTTTGCATGCACTTAGTGCATCAAGCCGAAAACGGCGACCTCGCAGTGCTGGGCATCTTCTTTGAAGAGGGTGACGAGAGCCCGTTCTTGGCCCAATTCTGGAACTACCTTCCTGAATTGGACCCACACGGCGAAGATATTATGGTCAACAACATCGACTTTGACAGCCTCAACATCGCGGACGACAGCTTCTTCAGATACACAGGATCGCTCACGACGCCGCCGTTCACGGAAGGTGTCGAATGGGTTATTGTAAAGGACCCCCGCGCGGTGTCGAAGGATCAAATCAAGGCGTTTGTCGATGCTATCCCTAGCGAATCCAACGCCCGCGAACTACAGCCCATTCGTGGAGCAGCCGGCAAGCTGTTCTATTGCTGCTAAGGTATCAATTCAAATTTGTTTATCCAACTTTTGCCAAGAGGCGAGTCGCCGTTGCCAATGGACGCAGAGGTCATGTTACACATTTTCAGTGTTGTGCAAATTACCTTAAAAGGATTAAGCCCCCATTTACCAAGCAATTGCCCCTTTGGCAACAATTTGATGCTCCGAGGCAACTTTCACACAAATACTCAAGAGTAAAAAGGTGTTCGGTACACACAGCTCTAGGATATCTTCCTTCTTGTGCTGACTGTGACTGAACCTGGACTTCTTCCAAAGGTTTGCAGTAAGTCACGCTGGTAATCCAGTACATATACTCATCGAAGGTAGTTGCATGCGACATGACCACGCCGAGGCTCGCAATGAGCGCAGCACGGCTCTCAAGTTGGACGGACGTCCAGTAGCGTCGACGTGTCGAGACGATATGCTCTACGAAGCTAGTTCTAAGAGTTGAGTGATGGCAGCAGCGCAGGTCGACGTGCGCAGAATACGATATCAGAGCCTTGGGTTGCGTCATCTACTTGGGCTTGTGACGCCACCATATGTGATGGACCGAAGGTTTATACGAACCGTTTTGAACAGTTTCAAAGTAATACATGACGTGTTTGAAACGTTTTATGTCAGTTTGGAACGTTGTCGAGTGGACTGCAGAGCGAAAGTAGACAACCTGTCTGACAAGTCCATCGTCCGAATTCGGGACAGCCTCCACATCCCCACAAATTCGCAAACCACAACTTGGCGCGGAATGCGTCGATGCCGTCGACCACCACTGAGGCGACGTCTACACACCCGATCGTGAACCTTGTGGCACGAATCCACTGATGCATTTTTATGTCCCCTCTGCTGCCGTGTCTCCACTTCGGGAAATTACTCTGTGTTTCAAAAACGTCTTTTCATTCATGGTATCCGGAATCGTTTTCGTTATCCGGTACATGCCCGCAGTAGACCCGACAGAAAAGGCGATGACGTGGCACGTTCTGCGCCAAGTTTGACGTTTGCAGAGTCCATGCTTCGGCAGGGCGTCATTCATGCCCTTGTGGCACGCGTCACAGTGTGCTGGGCTTGCAGCTGGCCAAAAGAGTGCTGCATTGGCGAATGAAACATATACCCGTTCGAAACGCCGACTTTCCCACGGTAATCATCGCCGCCTGACTGACTGTGCAGGTCACTTTTCCTTGGGACATGACACAGCAATCGCCGATCGACATCGACCCGCATGCGGTCAGAGAGATCATAATGGATCACTACGCTGGTCACATCGACCTTACTCTCGGGAGCGGCCCCGGTCAGTTTGAGCACGGGTACACCAACTTCAAGGTGAAGTGGACCGGAGACGACAACACTGTGCTGAAGCTCCGAGACGGCCGCGAGTATCGCCCGATTCAGTTCCACTTTCACGCACCATCCGAGCATACGCTACAAGGCCACCACTTTCCCTTTTGCATGCACCTGGTTCACCAATCGAACGACGGACACTTGGCGGTCGTGGGTGTGTTTTTTGAAATCGGCGACGAAAGCGAGTTCTTAAACCAGTTCTGGAATGTCCTGCCGGAGCTCGACCCCCAAGGCGTCGACGTCGCAGTGGACAAGATCTCGTTTGACTCGCTGTACTTGGCATCGGTCGTGACGGACGAAGCGTTCTACAGATACCAGGGATCGCTCACGACGCCACCGTACACGGAGGGCGTCGAGTGGATTCTCGTCAAGGACCCACGCACCATGTCCGCCGCGCAATTGCAGCATTTCATCGACATTCTCCCCGGCGACTCGAACGCGCGCGACCTCCAGCCACTTGAAGATGCCGCGGATCGGCTTCTTTTTTGCTGTGTTGCCTAGGCACCCGCGGGTATTTGGGTTAACTTGAAATGGATCTTCATTAACTACACCACTCCACCACTCCCGATAGTGCAGCGTTATCAGTGTAGAGCCATGGTGACAAGAAATCGTTCATGATATTCCAACAGCACAACCCGCTCGTATGCTTGCACACTCTCCAGCACTCCTGCTCCTTCGCCGGTCAAGACATCCACAAGCAGCGCTCGCGAAGACGCAAGCGCTGGTAAGGTCTAGTTCACGCGCATCTCACGGGAATTGCATCCTTTCCAAGCATGCAGCGCAGTCGGTCCATTCGTTTCTCGGGCGTTCACCTTGTCGCGTCATGAACGACGGCCGCAGACCAACTTTCCATGGCTTAACTCCGCCGTCGATTCGCGACACGTGCCAGCCACCACTTCGTTCTGTGGTCGCCATCCCATGACCAGTTCCATTCAATTGTCGTCTGCTGCATCCTTGTCTGATCGCCAACCGATGGGCATGCTGTCCGCTGTTGAACTCCGTATTGTGGTAGTCGCCGGAAAGCGCTGAACAAACATCGCCACTTCGGAATGCATGGCCGACAGTGCAAGCTATTCGACAGCTGATTTTGTCGGTGCCTCCTCACGAAGAGCCGAAATTTTGATTTTGAGAAATGACAGGAGGATGCGGACGCTATAGTCACCCAGGAGGCGTGACCTTCTGCACCTTGTAACGTGGGAGCTGCGCTATGGAGTATGTTTAACATGTGTGGGATGGAATTTTCAAGAAGGGGTTGCATGTGGTCCAGTTGCCAGCGGGGGGAGCGATGGTCGGGGAATACAGGACGTAATTGCGTTGGAAAGGCTCGCGTTGCATGGGTGACGCTATATGCGTCGCGTGAATTAATTGGCAAGGATGATCGCTTCGTGGACAGCGAGTGCTGCATCGTGGTGGAGGCGTTTCTCGGGGAGAGCTGTGGTGTGTATCATGGAAAGGTAGTTTGCCGGTGGTGGTAATGTGTTTAATGACCTGCACATGTCGCGGGGTAGTGTTGGCGGAGGGAAGCCCACCACACAATGTAGGACTGCTTCGTGCAAAAAGGCTAGATGCCGGCAGTTTGTGGTGTCGACGGTTGTCATGGGAGGTGATGAGCGTCCAACGTTAGGCGGCAATGTAGATAAAGGGCTAGCGGAAATGCACTCTTTCCAGACACCGACGTATTAAAACTGGTTGTCGACAGCATCCCTTGAATGGGCTGGCTGTGACACATATCAACACCCCCGTCGACTGTGACGGTGTGACTCGGTGGGCGTGTTCTCGCCAGTACAAGCTTGGTGCCCCACATCCTTGCTTGGTCCTCCATAAGTTCACGAATTCGCGAGCCGTGACACTGAATTCCCAACCGCGCTTGACATTCAAAACCCATTGGCAACCTCGATCAACAGTTAGCTCCACTACGGACTTGGCGGGAGGCCATAAAACATGCCGTACGCTGTAGCACTGGCATGCTGCCGCTAGCTTTGGCGCTGTACGATCGCAAGCGGACTCGATAAATGTTGTCAAGGCCATTTGGGAAAGCCCATCTTCTGTGGCTCGGACCGACCGTGTGAGTTTGGCTCTTGGATGCAGGTTTTGAAGTTGACTGCCACCTGTGCTCTTTCAAGATCCAAAATCCCATCGGGTTTTACCCACTCCCGCGTTTCGTACGGGAATTAAAACACACTGAACGCGACGGTCAAGGAGATGCATGTTGCGCCACGAAGCCTCGCCACCTCACAACGAACAGGTATACTCGGCCGACTTCTAGGTGTCGCTGGATGGCGCTGCGTGCGCTGCTCCTGTGCTACTGAATCCACAGCTTGCAAGATGTACTGTACTACGGCGTTACATAGGTGAGAAATATAAAACGCGTTTCAAACGATTGCTGTCGTTTGGTGGTTTTCAGCACCACCACGGAAAGCGGCTGGTACCACACGGCGGTCGCGATGACGCTGGACGCGCGGGAGACCGCGAGCGGCATTGTCGGCGCCGTGTTCAATGTGTATGCTGGCCTGCCTTTTGACGTGGTGAAGGTCCGACTGCAGACCCAGGGCACGTCCACGACGCACTACAACGGGTTGTTCGACTGCTTTGCCCGCACAGTTCGACAGGAAGGCATCCGTTCGCTGTGGAAAGGTGCAGTCCCTGCTCTGTCCAGCGCGATCGTTGAGAATTCCGTGCTTTTCACGGCCAACGGAGCCCTCAAGCGGATCCTGTTTGAACAGGGAGATGCCCTGTCGACGCTGGATGAAGCGCTCGTAGGGTCGACGTCCGGTCTTTTTTCTGCTGCCGCGATCACGCCCGCCGAAGTCATCAAGTGTCGCCTCCAGACGTATGCCCATGCTGGTTCGATGGGTATTTGGCGATGCACCAAGACTATTGTCCAAGAAGGCGGCGTCATGGGGCTCACGGCCGGCCTCGGCGCGGTCGTGTTGCGCGACGTCCCGTTCAACTTTTGCTTCTTTGGCATGTATGACTTTTACACATCCCGATGCATGGACCTGGTCGGTGTCGACTCGAAGCGTGAGTTGCACCCCCTCGCCGTACTTGTCTCTGGCGGTTGTGCAGGAGCAACTGCGTGGACCGTCGTGTTCCCGGCGGACGTGATCAAGTCGCGGCTACAAATCGACGCATCGCTGACGTTTCGAAAGGCCGTTCGAAGTGTCTGGCGCGTCCACGGCCTCGTCGGGTTTTACCGCGGGTGGAGCTCGGCGGTGTTGGGGAGCTTTCCCGCGGATGGATGTTTGTTTCTCGGCGTCGAGATGACGCATCGGTTGTTTGCTCATATTGAAAACAACAATGTATGATATAAGTTGACGCGACCCCGTGGCAAAATTCCATCGTGCTGGAACCTCCTCGTTGGCAGGGCAACTCGTGTAAGAATTCGGTCGTACCTGCGGTTCGCGGAAACGATGTAGCGTCATTTTCATCGGCCCAGGGCTTGTAAGGTCAAACCTTGAGTGGCACCCCATGGGACGAAGCACTCTTGGTACCTCCAGAAGCCTTTACATCGTAGGCGTGACCGCGTGGCAATGCTCGCAGGGCAGGTGTCCCACCGGGCACGCACGCTGTCACCCTGTTGTGAATGGCCACCCGCACACGCGTCATTCTCTCGGAACGCTGTAAACGGCCGGCCGTCCGCGGCACTATCGTCACGTGGGATTTGCATATCGTGCAATATGTGAACACCGAAACCAAACACGTTATCCGGAAAAAGGACGTACACTTTCCGACGTATCCGAATTTCAACAACATTCTCTTTTGTGTACTGGTTGAGGCGACCGCCGACTGGCAGTGCGTTTTCTCGCGGGCATCGCGGCGACTGCTGCGACGATGGCAAAGACGACGGCGAAGCGCACATGGTCAGGCCTTCTCTTGTACACGCTGTGCTCGTTCGTGTGGGTGTATGCGTACCAAGTCGTGTTCGTCGGCGTGTTGTGTGTCGGCATCCTGGTCGGGCTGTGCACTTGCAAAGTGCAGAACCTGCTCAGCGGCGTGTCCCGCGCGGTGTGGCAAGTTGAGCTGTGGGTATACCAACTATATGTAACCGATTCGACGCTGCGGGTGCCTCGCGTGGAGGCCATCACGCTTGGTACGGTCTGGTGGACGTTCGTGTACTTCTTCCTGACCAAAGCGTGGCTCACGGCCTACTTTACCGCGATTGTGTCTACGATTTTCAACGACTACAAGGCATATCAGGTCGCCGCTACCGCGGCGCAGACCCCGACGCTGTTTTCTCTCGATGCCCTGCCCCAAACCCCACCACCTGCAAGCGACGCGTCCGGCGAGACCATGGCCGAGCTTGTGTTTGACGTGCTGGCCTGGTTTTCCATTAACATTTTGATGGTTTGGTTCGCAACGTGGTGGACGAACAAGTACTACACATGGATGGTCAGCGAATTGGAAAGAAAGACCGAGGCGCGACATCTCCCGCATTTTCAACACTACCGACTCGGCAACGCCGCAGACGCCACCTCGCCATTTCGTCCGTTCATGCCCCCATCACCCCCTCCAGTCATCCCGTTCAGCAGCCAAGGTTGCAACGGATCGGTCACAGTTATGGGAGCCCCACCGCTGCATCCGCCGCAACTCGAGCAAAACACGTCGTCGCAGTCGAGTGTGTCGTCTGCAGGAACTGTGGCCTCGGCCGCCAATGTATCGTTCAGCAATTACGTTCCTCACTCTATGCCGCCATCCATGACTTTTCAACGATCCATGCAATCCCATGCCGCTCAAACCGGGGTGGCCCGACCTGCGCAGCCGCTCCTGCATTTTTCGTCGACGCTCACAGAGCGCCATGGCGTGCTCGGCTTCCCCGTGCCTCCCCCGCCTTTACGCAGTACGACGTCGTCTGGGGCATTGCACACCGGCCCTGGTTCCACCGAACACAACGGGGAAACACAGCACCAGGCTAACGGTGGCATGAATGAGAAGCGGAAGCCTCCTCCGCCACCGCAGCCCCCAATGGCTCCACATCCCCCGAATGCACTGCAATCCCCACCGCTTTCCCAACCTGCACATCCAGCTGTGCCGACACATTTCAAGCGCAAAAAAGCCGACGCTCTCCTGGCCAAGCACGAACACAAACTCGACTCGATGGCCGATCGCGCCCGCCACCAACTGCACTCGCTGCATCGCATCCTTGCGACTGTAAAATCCCACCCTAATACGAACATGATCATGCATGCACGCCGGCGTTTGGCGACCCTCGAAGAAATGGTGGCCCATGCTCCGTTATTGCCCGACGAGCGACTGCAGTTTGATCTATCATGTCGGGAAGTGGCCCAGATCCTGGAGGAATCGACGATCGCTGCGTCGACACCGCCAGCCCGCGACTCGACGCGAGAAGTGTTTGATCACCTCGTAGACGATGCATTGGGTCACGTGCGCCATTTGCAAGAGTTCTGGACGATGCAGCGACCTCAAGATCACGACACCGTGTCGGAACTGCGTCGCCAACTCGACGACGTCCTGATGTCAATCGCGTCGGTCCCAGCCACTTGGCCGAGGCGAAATGAACTGGAAGACCAGCACCGCGCCCTCGATGCCGAATTGGCCGCGTGGCTCTCCAACCAGGACAACGAAAAGAACGCTGTGCGAAACCAACTCGACTCGATTCACCAAACACTCGTTCAAGACGCGGGGCTATCGAATGAGAACAAGGTACAGCTGCAGCGCATGTGCTGCGACCTGCAAGACAAACTCGCCGCGATGGAGCGCGGACCGTCATCGACACAGGCAACTGTATCCCACGCCTTTGTGCCCCAACTACCATCCGCAACGTCACCACACGGGCGGACCCCCGCCGCCCCAGCTCCTGAAGCAGGTCTTGCTCAAACCCTGGTTGATCGGTACGCGACTTTCGGAGGCCCGCGACGTGCATCCGCGGGTCCAGCGAGTCGCCAACAGCCAGCTACCCCAGGCACATTCGTCGTGCATCAGGAGGTTGAGGTGAAAGAAATGTCGGACGTTGACGTTTCCGAGACCGAAGATTATTCGCGCAAGGTCCAAGTCACTGAAGCCGCTCGGTCGGGGTGGCAGTCGCCGTGTGGGTACGACCACCCTGGATCTCCCGACTACGGCGTCATGTCGCCGAGCAGCGGCACCACGACTAGCATGCCTTCCTTTGCCACGTCCAGTCCAGCCTACGGTCAGCTATCTCCCACAGGCACGTCTTCCATGCTTTCGACAACAGGCCCATCAGCCACTTTTGAAGCGGCCCCGACGTTCCGCAGTGCGTCCCTCTCTCCATCCGACGTTTATGACCCCGTGCACTTTATGTCGTTTGCTCCGCCGTCGGTGTGCCGCGGCATGGTATTCCAGTTTAACATTTGGGCATTTCTCGTCCACCAGCGCGACGAAGCGGCGGAGGAAGCGCTGGCGGCGGATTTGACGGCGCGGCAATTGTCGCGGGAGCTTCTACTCCGCGTTCGCCGAGGTGCCTTGGCCCACATTACCCTCCAAGTGCCCAGCGGATTCTGTTTGGATCATTGCGACTCGACGCAAGTTTTGTCATGGACAGGCAACGTCACAAGCGTGAAATACGGCGTGGAATGCACACCGAGTGCTCCACTCGGCCAAGTCCTGTTCAAAGCAACGATCGTCGTCGGGACGGACGTGATGATCCTGCGGTCGTTCGTGTGCGTGGCGGCGATGCACACCCGTCGCGACGCAGCAGCCTGTGAACTCGACAGCATGCTGGAAGTGCTTCCGAAAAGTTTTACCGAGATCCCGTTCGACACGTTGTCGATTCGCGAATTGATCGGGCGCGGCCACTTTGGCGACGCATATCGAGCCGAGTACCAAGGCAAACAGGTAAGGCTTTGCGGGATGTCGCAGCGAGCGCATGCATGATGGACCACTCGTTTCGTAATCGACGCATCTTTCTAGGTTGTGGTCAAGACCATCCGCGCCAGCGTCCTCGGCGGCGACTCGGCCGATCAAGTTGTCGACGAGTTTCGCCATGAAGCCGCCGTGCTCAACATGTTTGGCCATCATCCGCACATCGTGCCGTTTGTCGGGGCTTGCACGGATCCGTCGTCGACGCTGTCGTTGGTCACCGAGTACCTCCCGTACGGAACAATCGAAGATCAGTACAGGCGGCACCTGACCGCCGCGCAAAAGACGCGCATCGTTGCGGACGCCGCCGCTGGGCTCGCAAACATGCACGAAGGCGGGTTCATCCACCGCGACATTGCAGCGCGCAACTGCCTCGTCGATGGCGACCTGCGGGCCAAAGTGTGCGACTTTGGATTGTGTCGCCGCGTCGAGGCGTGTCGTGCGGGGGTGCATTTTGAGAATGGCGTCGGTCCACTCAGGTACATGGCGCCCGAGTCGCTTCAGCCGCCGCATGTGTTTTCAACCAAGTCGGACGCGTTTGCGTTTGGCGTGCTGGTGTGGGAGACGTTCACCGAGACGAAACCTTTTGCGACGAGGACGGCGCACGAAGCGGCGGCATTTGTGCTGGAAGGCGGCCGTTTGGACCATATGGATGCGGCGATTCCCGTCGCCCTGCAGCGCCTCATGGCCCAGTGTTTTCAGGAAGACCCGATGCGCCGCCCCACCATGACCGACATCGCGGCGGCCTGTCGACACGCTGACCTCTCGCAGGTCGATTAGACATGTAACATGGATCGAATTGGAGTCGTCTCGACGGCGGCAGGGTGTCGTGTGTCGTGGCAAGGGCGGCGGATGTCATCCGAGTGTGGTGGGCGTATGGGAGTTGCTGGCTGCCGCAAGGGACTTGACGACATCGGCGCTCCCGTCTTCCGTTGGTGGTCGGGTGCGTTGGGCACCATGGCGACCACGCGTCATTGCAAGGCGTGAAGCGAGTAGGCGGATGGACCGGGGAACGGCAGGCACCTGGACGACTGCGAAAGCGCCTTCCAACTCGTCTGAGGGCTGTGAAGTCAGCATGGACGATTCGTGCTGCACAGGACGTCCGCTCCGTTGGATGCGACGGAAGGTTATCTACTTGCACGTGGGTGCGCTCGCTGTGAAGATTTGGAACAGGGGCGTAGTCCCCATTCGTTCACGATGCTGCATGGCCACGGGATGGGGTGCGCGCGGGCAATGCTTGCGCCCAAGTGCATGATGCAAGTCATGCCTCCATCCTTCTCGACATGGACGACCATGGCCGAGACAGACGCGGGGGAATGCCGAGGTGGATAGGCATTAACATGTAGTATTAGCAACATTTCGATTAAATTAAGTGGCTTCAAGTGCCAAGGTCGGGAGACGACGCCCGTGCATGCGAAACAGAGGCCGGAGGACGGAGCACTGCCGCTTCATGGGGGGTTTGCTGGAAGGCAGCACGGTGATGGAGTGCGTGCTACGCGAGGTGGAGATGGCCGAGGTGGAGATGGCCGTCGGCGATTCCGCCAGTGCTGGCGCCGGGGAGCCCCGCAAGAGAAACGCAATCACTTTCGGGTGCTGGCCGGCGATGGCCCACTTGAGCGCCCGTGGCGTATGGCCTTTATGGCCAATGTGGCGTAGGAAGTGGAGCATGTCGAGCTGGCCATGGAGTGCGGCCAGGTCTCCCAGTGGCTCGACGATCGAGAGCAGGTCGTACCGGTCATGGAGGTACCTCGCCAACGCCACGTCGCCATAGTACACGGCGTACTGCACGAACACGACGCGCATCTTTTTGCAAAAGTCGACAGCTCTTGGAATGCGATCGACGCCGTACTCGCGCAGCCACGGCTCAAGGATGGTTCGCGTGATCGGCATGCGCTGGCGAATGATCGTAGGGTCGTAAAAGCACTCGTAGATCGGACACAACGTGGTGCGAAGGACTCGCATGTCTGCGTACACGCCGCCCTGGTACGTCGAGATCATCGCGGCCAGCTCGGGGGCAAACAGCGTCGTGTGCGCAGCGGCGGCCATGATTTGGAAATGAAACGACGCAGCAACCTCGGCGGAGAAACGACAACGCCAGCAGGTCAAGCGCTACAACTCCTCTTCCGAACCGCGTCGGGGCTGTGCGGCGGTCTTGGTGGCCAGGGACGCGCTGGCCCGTAAGTGTGATCGGTCGGCGCGAGTACTTGCCACAAGCGTTGGTGTCGTGGCGCTTGCATGGACTGGGCACCCTTCCGTCGTCCAGCCTCCCCGACAGAACAAGGACGCGGGAAGGAAATGGGATCGGCGTGGGGGGCATGCAAATCCCTTGGCTGCCAACCCTTGAACGACCACCTTCTTCAAGTTGAACGACGTACGTGCATGAAACAGCATCACGTTCACCCAACGTCGTCCCTGTTGCGCCCGCTCTCGCTCGGTCGCTTGTCGGAGGGACGACGCGGCGGCGACGACGAGGTAGCCAGCAGCAAGGTGGGTCGCATGCGCGGCGTAACGCATGCATGGGCTGGGAGAGGGAGATGTGTACGTCGGCGGCCGCTCTCGCGCGTCCGTCGACGTGGAATATGGAACAGAGGGTACCTTGAAGAAGCCCGAACGCGCCAAGGACAACTCAGTCCCGTCGACCGCCTGACGCTCTGAACGAAGAGAGAATTGAAGAGCATCTCTTGCGCGCATTCGTACGTCATGTCGACCGTCATGGGAAGCATGATCGGGACCACATGCGACAGATTCCCTCGGCAGTGGCGCACGCAGACACCATGACGTGAGCATCGTGTTGCTTGCGGCCGCCGGCGAATTTATCCGTCTCGTACACCCAGGACCAACATTGTACACCATCAAAATGGACCACCTGCACGTTTCGGCAGCCGCATGGGCTCGCTCAAATATCGAGCCAAGCGCGATGGATCAAGCCGGGCCATTCAGGACCTTCGCAGCACGAACCTGGCAACGAGTGGCGATCGCAAAGCTTACGCGGGCCGCTTCTTATTTCGTACTCTGCCGTGCATGGGCTGGCAGACACTCTCGCGTGCATGCCATATTGAAGTGTATGGCGGAATCACGAATGTTGGTCTTAGATGTACAGGAAGGATTTTCTCGAGATATGGAACGATCGACGGAAACGGCGCGAGCAGGGCCGTCGCGTGCGCTTCGACGTAGGTGCGACGTCAAAGACAACGATGCGTTGTTGCATCAATTGGACATGGCGCTTCAGCCTCGTGGTTGCTGCTCTGCCCTGATGTGTCCCCCACGGCTGGACTACAGCCTGCTGCTGGACGCAGTGGCATGACCACCGCATGTGGGGAGGTGGTCAGAGCGTACATGGGCGACGGCGGCATTGCGGCCGAGATTCCATCTTGTGGAGACTGCGAACGCTAGCGCATCTGCTCCGTGGGCTGCGCGAGAGTACACCGATGCGATCTCAAGTAGAGATCGCTCTTTGCCGTTTGGACGATGCTCGTGGTCCAATGCATTTCACTTTCAGGCGTTGTTGGGTCGAGATCGAGGTGGCTATCGATGGGATGCCAGCCACTTGGCGAACGAACACGCGTTCCAATTGCTCTTGCGAAACGAGTTCACGAGGTGGACCTTGTCGTTCGCTTTGTCGGGTCTTCTTGGAAGCACAGGGCAATCCATTCTTGGTACTTGATCGGGCCGACCCCGCTGTGCACCCGCAGTTGGTGCTCACCTGCCGGCACATACCGAAGTCACACAACTTTGGCGCGTTGTTCGCATCCACCAAATAGTTTCGCGCTGCGATGTCGCGATGGACAAACCCGCCTTCGTGAAAGTTGACGAAACCCGACGTCGAGTCGCCCTGAAGAACTTCTTTCTGCCGCGCCGTCAACCCGCGGCCGTACTGGTCCTCGATGTAGTATTTGGTGACCAGACACCACGGCTGCGACATATCCGTGGACGCCCCCACGAACGGAACATGGTGCAAATGGTGGCCAAACATGGTGAGGACTGCCGCTGCATGCCGAAACTCTTCGACGATCTTCTCGCTGCACTCGCCCAAACTCGCTCCCACGCACGGTTTAGACTCCAACCTGGTCACTGTAATGCGAATCAGTCGATGCGGCATCGGTTGAACGAGTGCACACGCACGTCGCGACCGCCGTACGTGGCGCGGTCAGCATCGCCAAAGTGACCTTGCCCCACGAGCTCTTGGTTGTCCTCGTACAGGATTTCGTGACATGTTGGCAGAAGCACGTCGACGTTGGATTGGAGCTCTCGAATCGCTTGGTCGTACTCGACAAGCTGCCGGCCCACGAACGCAAGATCATGACGCGGGCGCCGACCACGATCGTCGACTTGAACAAGATTTGGCCGACAGGAGCGGTCGACATGCACAGCACTTGGTCGTGAATGCTTGTTACGTCGCCCATCGACTCGAGCGCTTGCGTGGGCACGTCATAGAGCTCAATTCCCGCCGGCACGTCGAGACTAACGTGGGCAAGCGCCTCTCGACGGACCCGGACGAGCTGGCCCCAATATAAAAAAATAAAGAAGTATATTGTAGATTAAGCATAAATTATACTCGAGTACACCAACTATATTTAACAGATTTATTATATATTTTAAAACATAAAAATTATTAGCTTTTAAACATAAAGATTATTAGCTATTATAATAATTTTAAATATTTTTCAATGTCTGGTATCGCTCATTTAGCTATTTTTTCAAAATTGTTTTAATTCATAACATGAGCTTCTGGTAACAGCTAACCAATATAGATTTTGATAACAAAATATCGAAAAAATAATGATATAAATATACAAATAATGTTGTTCCTGTACCAAGCGTGAGAGGCAGACTTACAGTTAAATCAGGTGGTGGTGAGTGAATCACCTTGAAAATGCACACGGAAGTGACCCAGGCACTAGCTCGAATCAACAGGATGTGGGAGAGAACGTAAAGGACTAGTGAAAATGGCCATAGCAATACAGGGCCTTGGAACGAGCCTCAATTCGTTCGTCGAGGATGGCAAGTGACACCCCCTGCAGGATTTTCCACGCGCATCTGCACACAGCCAGGCCGCCTACAGGAACATAGGTCCATGTACTCGATAATGCAATGTCGGAGGTGGATTTTCGTAGAATCGATGGATGACGAGGTCGACGCGCCATACGGCGTGCACGACGCGGTGGATCTATGGAGGTGTAGAGTTTGTAACGAAGAACGCGTCTTGCACAAGAATGTCCGCCAGTACCAGTGGGAACATTAGAATCCGCACGACTGTACATACGCTGTAGATCAAGAACGAGCTAACGCACACGTAGCACGTCCTGTGAGTGCTCGCGACTCGGGCATACCGTATTTGTTACAAGCCTGCACCTACGAAAATGTTACCCAAAACGCCATATGGTAGGTGTAGGCTTCTAACAAAACGGAGGCCGCTTCATTCCGGCGAAGGCACTTTGATTGGACAAAACAGGACGATAATTCAAAACTTGAAATGGTTTCCCGCCGCACTTCAAACTTTGCCATGCCACGCGGTCGCCAGACGAGGAGGAAGGTGTTCACCGTCACCGAAAAGCTGGAAGTGGTGAAGAGGTACCTCAATGAGGGAGAGAGCTTTTACTCCCTTGGCAAGTCGTGCGGCGCACAAGGCAACCAAGTTTGTCGGTGGGTGGCGAACCACGAGCTTCTCAAGCAAGCTGCACAACGATCGCCGCAAGCTGCAACTGTCAGCATCGGTCGACCCGTCACCAACCTCGACGTCGAAGAACAAGTTCTGGAGTACTACAATGTCCTAAGGGACGATGATGTCGCGATAAGCACCAAGATGTTGAAGCTCAAGGCACTGAACATCGACCCGACCTTCCGTGGCGGGTACACCAGTGCATTGACCTCGTGGGTGTACCAATTCCTCCGGCGCCACCATCTCAGCATCCGTCGTCCGACTCGAGTTGGCCAGAAGATGTCGTCGGCACTTAGAGAAAACCAACGCGACTTTGTTGCTGCTGTGTGTGATCGATTCCTCCCGTTTGGGACACTGGAGGGGACGGACTGGAGCCGTGTGGTCAACATGGATGAAACTCCAGTGCACTTCGAGTCGGAAGTTTTTACCACGATTGCCGCCAAGGGCTCGAAAACCGTGTCCGTGCGATCGTGTTCCTCGACGAACCCACGCGTCACTGTCTGCCTG